AAAGACCGTATATAAACGGTGGTTAATTTCATTTTAATACACATCTTAATGCTCAGTTTTACAAATATCTTTCACACATTCTATTCGTAGACGACCGGGTTCCGCCATAATAAAGTTTTTAAAAACATTCGAACTTAGATGTTTTTGCGCGTTGTTTTTCTAGGCATCGAGGATAGAATGGAAGGAATAATACAAGGAACAAGGACTTTTCATAATTCAGATTTAAAGCTTCAACATCTGACTCGTAGGCGAACTGACATATAAGACGTAGGCGAATCGACTCTATTCGTAGGCGAACAGACCGTAGGCGAAACGACCGGATACCCCTCAACAACAACAAGTTAGAGGAGGAGGATTCCACATTTGCCTTGGCCTCCAGCTTCTTGTGGAAAACCAGAATAGGTTGCATATTATTTTCGATGGGAAGATCAGTATCCTTCATGCACATGTCAATGTACCTGGAAAAAAAAATCTGAGGTGAGAAGAGCGCTAAAGAGAAGCTTACGTTCAAAATCAAGCACTTTAGGCACATGTAAGAACGAAGTGTTGATACGTACCGCGTTGCTTCGATCCCAAAATTATCTCTTCGACACAGAAAATAACAGTTTTGTGAAGCCAGCAGTAAACGTCGATTGCGGCCACCTTTCCAGAGAAAGATCTCAAATGAACATCGCATGTTATGTCCTTTAAAAGCGGAAGAAGACCTGTAATGCCCATATCACACTATTTCTCCCGGTATTTTTATGGCGTAACGAGAGATGTGAACAAAGCGAAGGTCAGATGCAAATGAGCCGTTTTTGATTTTTTCCCCATGATGCCCTTCGGACCGTGTCCAACACCGCCTGATGCCGTTAGGTGGAATAATAGAGAGTTTAATTAAGCTTCACGTTAACGGCAAACGGCAAACGTCAGATTCAAGTTGAGAATTTCTCAAAATAGAAAATGAGCAGATAAAAACAGCTCAAAACAATTCTTATGAATACAAAATTGCGTGAAACTACTAACTCATGTGTAGAAATAATGAGCAGTAAACGACAAGTAAAGAGGAAACTTGGTCACGTGGTACAAATTGGCGTTTGCCGTTTAACGTAAGTGAAGCTTAACCTCTCTAATAGGTTTAGTTAATAGCTCATCTAACTGCAGCTCCATATTGATAACTTTGAATGCTAGATTTTTTGATCGGATGAATTACCACTAGCCTCAAGTTTTTCAACTCTTTAACTGGCTTTCCTGCTGCTTATTTGATTTTACATGCTAATAACCCCTGGGCCGTCGTCATTAATCCCAGGCTTCGAGGCCTAGGGAGAGGTTGCTGGGCCGGAAATTTGGGTAAAAGCAAACCATTACCTTGTTTAGGAAAAAAATCATGAATTCGTTACCCTATTTCAGACGAGACCTTCAGTATTTATAACCCTGATATCGTGGCATTCAGAATTGAGTAACTTTTAGCATCCTGAAATTAAATTTCTTTTATGAAAATACCGTAAATGATCTAATAAACGCCGGGGGCGTTTATTAAATTTCAAGGGTCCAAGGGGGGGGCGTTTAAAAGAGAGAGGCGTTTATTCTAATAACTGTAACATGGTAACCTAAATACGGTATTATAATAATCTAAATGACAGAGCTTTAGCAGACTATCAAGTCCGACCGCTGATAAGTCTAAATCGTCTACAAATCCATAACGGTATATGGTACATACAAAGTGGCGGAAAAGGGTACCGTACTGGTAGTTCTTATAGCTCAATGTCAACGTGCGAGTCCTCGTCGAGCACCATGGTATTTTCATCGCCGGCCTCTTCTATATATGTCTGAGTTAGTTATTGCTTGAAATGGGATCAAGAACATTAAAGAACACTATCCTCACTTTGAACTGGAAATTGAGCAAGACGCAACTCCCACACCGGTGTTTATTAAGCAAGAACGCAAATAAATTGATTGATTGTATTGTACATCTGTTTCCAGTTTATGTGTGTTTTTCAGGGACGGGGGCCGTTTATTAGACAGGGGGCGTTTGTTGGAGAGGGGCGTTTAATACAAACTTGTCAGCTTAGGGGGGCGTTAATAAGATAAGAGGCGTTCATTAGAGAGGGGGCGTTTATTAGATCATTTACGGTAACGCTTTTAGTAGCACAAATGAAGACTGCGGAACACTAACCTTCACACCGCTGTTAGGATTTCCATGTCCAAAAAGATACTCTTTTCAAGATGCGAAACAGTAAAATTGTTTACCGGCAGTGACATACCAATTCAGACCAAATAAGGGAGTAAGGGGAGCCTCAGAGGGTTGATAGTCACGACAACAACACAACATCGTGACGTAATTGACCAATAATAATGGGTCAATAACCAGAGTCTAATACCATCAACTGACGCAATAAAACACACTTTGACTCTGAAGATGATTACTGTACAGGTTATGCAACCGGTAAAGTTTTTTCAGCCGATGGCTGTCACGTGACCTAATTTGCATAATTCAAAAGCACGAAATTGGCACAAACTAAAAATGTGTGCAGCTGGGAAAGTTTTATGTGTCTAAGTCTAAAGCTCTTAGATATAGACCACCCCCTAACTTTTGCGGAGATCAAAGTGAAGCTCATGCCTTAATTTACCTGAGTAGATGTAAAATAACCATTACAAAACTTAACGAATTGAATAGGCAGATTGGTCACATCCACAGACCCAAAGTGAAAATCAACTTCATGTACCGAAAGTACATGAAGTAAGTAAGTTATGTAGGAAAGTACTGTTCGGTAGCTTTCATTTCAATGGCAACCACAGAATTTAGACCCAAACGTTAGAATCAACTTGTTAAAAGTGATAATCAAAGCAACAGTGCCTTAGGAAAGTACTACTCCATAGCTTTCTTAAGAAATGTCAAACATTCAAAGAGCAACCATCGAATCGAACCATGAATACACATGCGAGGTTACTAAGCACGAAAGAAGCGTGAGAATTCAACCTTTCTGAGTTCTTAGCAGACCTTCTAAGTGCATTCATAACTCGATAGTTGCACTGAGCTGGATTGTTGACCATTTATTTTGTTAAATAATTAAAAGAGAACAACTGGCTTTTAGTTTTGCTCTCAGTTAAGAGAATGACTTGAGTATTGTTATCTGCGAGCTATGGCGTGTTCAAATCATTCTTTGTTAAGTCTTTTCTTTTAAAAAATTCACTGGATAAGTAGTTTTCCGTATCATTGTAGATCTAAAAACCGGCTTTTTACGCGGCTTTTTGTACATTGTGCTTTTGTTTCTCCACTAAATAAAATGCTTTACGTTGATGCCCCATTGTCCCCCACTAATTCGCTATAGAAAATGCTCGGTCTTCCCCAAACAAGTCACTAAAATGCTCGATAATGATCATCATATATATTCAGAGGCTTCTTTACTATTTTTCAATGTTTAAGCTAAAAAACGAACAAGTGGTGAAGTAACAGCGTATACAAGATCATGATAATGATTTCACAAATCCTCTTGTTGTTGTTTTTTTAATTTCACTTTAATGAAAAATTTTCTGGGAAAGTTCCAGTAAAATGTTCGAATAATGGTTAATTTTTTTGCCTTACTACAATGCTCGAAAAAACGCTGACATCATATGCAAAAGCCAACTTCCCGGAGTTTTAGCAGCCGAGAACTAGTTTAGGTGTAGAGCAAGTATACTCAGGCTGGTTTACACAATGAGTGTCTTTGGATAACAAATTAGATCGTGGGAACCGTGGCGTGAAGAGATGTGAGCCGAAATAAACAGCGATGGATGGTTAACAATCAGAGGATTCTACTTTTGAACAAACAGATGTTACCGTAAAATTCCGAAAATAAGCCCTGGGGCTTATATTTTTTTGAGGAGCTTATTTTTAGAGGGGCTTATCTACGGAGCCGGAAATTTGCGTCTCAAAATCGATTGGGCTAGCCTTATAGTTGGAAGTAAATTTACCGTTTTTGCTTTGTTTAATTTTACTTTGTATTTAAGGGGAATTTTCCAATTACAAGCCCTGGGGGGCTTATATTTGGAGGGGCGATTTTACGGAGGGTTTTTTACGTTACCGGTTTGGGGGGCTTATATTTGGAGGGGCTTATTTTCGGAATTTTACGGTATTGTTTATGGGACATTGCATTGATGAGTGGAGTGTCGTATGGATTTTCTGCCCGGTCTAGGTTAGGGTAGCAAAGTTGCTGTTCATCATGGGCTGGTATAAGCAAAGGATCCCAGCCAGACCACACACACAACTGAAAAAGTATTTTCCAAGCTGGTTTCCCCTTCATTTAGGGGTGAAAAGGTCCCGCACACTCACACTTAAAGGTTTGATCCCTGGGTTTTGACTCAATTATTCGTAAACTTGTCAAGCAACATGCACACCCGTGTAAACTGTGACAAAATTTTGTTTTCAAAATGTGATCGTTTTAAATGCAATCAGTCCACGCAAGATAATAGGCAGCTTAAGCAACGACGACCACGAGGCAACGACAACTTTAAAAAACAGTAGGCTTAATGATCAAAACAACAGCTCTGCAGGTGCATTACGCTTGTTAGTACATTTCTTTGACGTCCACTGCACGACTACGACGTGAAACCTCCCAATTTGACGTTTTATGGAGGACGTGGACATACGACAACGAATTTCCCTTCCTCTTTTTGAACCTGAATAAAATCCTTAACAATTCAACTCCAGGAAAAGCCGCTAGCAGTTGACATATTGAGCGTGTCCAAATAGAGTGACGCAGGAGAGAAAGAACGCAAATTCATTTTCTTACCGACTCTTTCACTGCCGTCGTCATCGTCTTTGCTTTATGTCCCTAGTTATCTCTTGGTTCACAACTAGCTTACCAACCCCCCTACAATATCAAGAAATTTAATAGTGCAGGAAAATTTGAAGTAGAGAATATTATTTTATTGGCCTTTTTTTACTGGGCACTACAACATATTTGTGATACGTTTTAAGTTGGCAAATTACAAGTAACTTTTTTGACCGTTTCGTCGCGTGTGTCAGTACTTTGTGACTGCTACACGCAGTAACATCCAACGGGTATATTGGGAATAACCACTCGTCTCTGTCTCCTGCACATCAAAGGATGCCGAGGCATGCGCACAAACTCTACGCGTCCAAATCGGGTCAAACAGCGCATGAAACCATTTGCTGGACCGCATGTCGGAGGGTTCGATGGAGTACCTGCGCACTCAATAGTGTTAACGAATCTTGGAATGAAAATATCTTTGGTCTTGAAGTACTGTTTAGGGTCTAACCGCGAATAGATCTCTTGACAGGCGCGCATTTGAGGTAATTGGCGTAAAAAGCGTTTAATGTCATGTGTTCCAGTACTGTAACGAGAAATCAAAAACGAAATTCAAATTATTTTTTAAAGGGGAATTCTGGTTGTTTTGTTGGGTGTCGAGGGGGCGGGGGGAGGGGGTTGGGAAATGATGTTGATTTAAGAAGGAAAGAAATTAGAGTAGAAAAGGTATACACAGTAAACCAGTCACTTTGCTGATCAACATGAGCTCAGGGGCACCTGTGTCTGGTATTTGTCTACTTCTTACTCACTTCAAATTGTTATTTTTAACTATACAAAGGCCAAATCCAATATTTTCCAGTTTTTCAAAATTTAAACATCCTACTAATTTTTATACATTGACAGGAGCCCTTTGATTAAACAAATTCGAAAAATCGTCAAAAAATTCACAGAAAATTATACAACAACGGAATCCAAGTAATTGAGTCATTTTTTTGATTAAATGAAATCTTGGCTAGCGACTTAAGAAAAAGGCGGCATAAACGAAAAGCAGTGCTTTTAACCAGAATGCGCCCTTAATTAAGTACTTAACCTTAAAAAGTGTCGATGGAAACTTATTGCTTCAAGTTGATTTTCAGAAAAACTGACAAAAAAGAAGGTAAAAGAAAGAAAGAGGTATTGGTCACTTTCTTAAACAGCGCCCCTGCTTGTATTTATTGCTCTAATTTCCCTGGACCCCTTGCAAGAAGAGCCTGCATCTTGAACAAGTAGGAGAAAATGAGGCTCTGCCGGAATCACGTCAATCTTTTAAAGTCACCGCAACCCAATCTTCTGGACTAGTCAATCTTGTTTCCTCTCGTCAAACTGGTTTCGAGTGCGAACATTCGTTTATTGACAAAACGATGGTCATGAACCCCCGAGCGCACGGCTTCCCCGGCGCTTTTTGGAAGAAATAACTTATAATTCCTTATTATTCCATGTTAGGTGGCTAACTTGACAACTTATATAAATTAGAAACGAGACTAACAAAACAGAGACTCCAGCATACCCTGTTGTGCCATTCGATGATTCCGACGGTGGAACCACGTAGCCTTCAACACTTTGAAACTCATAGGATGAAGGCGCGCCTGCGGTCATATGGGTCAGCAAGCACCAGCACACGGAGAAAAGCAAACAAAACTGAAAAGCAAACTCTTTGTTAGAGCGATCTTCGAATGACCTTAAAAATGGTTTCGATAAGTGTTCGTTATTTGTTTTATCAGCCAATGGATGAAAAGATCAAAACATGGACAATTCGTTCGTTTTCCCGTCAAAGAAAACCCTGATATGGAAAAGGCATTGTTCGATTGGCCAATCGTGTTGCAGTATGACGTCAAACTAAAGTATCGGTTAATTTCTAGAAAGTTTTCGTGCATGAAGTTTTTTTACCCGAGCGTTCGCTTAACCAACCAAGAGCCACGTGCGTTTGTATCCGTTCGACAAACCAATCAAATCGCTCTATTTCCGTTCGTTTGTTAATTGTTTCTGTTTTGTTCGCGCGTTTTCCTTTCAAGGTCTTACAAACCTTCTTTTTTTCCTGGGGCCAGTTTCTCGAAAGGCCCGTTAAATTTTCCCTCCCGAAGACAAATTTTAAAATCAAACCTTTTGTAGCCTGCTTGCAGACGATAACTAAACTCTGATTAGTACCGTCTGCGAAGCAGCGCAGAGATCCTTGTTCTGGACCCCCAACGGACTCAACGAATTACCGGAAGTGCGTTTCGAATTCCCCTTCAACCTGATTGGCGATCACGACAAACAAAACAAAGGCCTTTTTAACTGGCCAATCGTGGCGCGTACTCAAATCTGGGTACACAGCTGGAAGTCCAGAACAAGGATTTCGGCGCTGTTTCGCAGACGGAGTTAACCAGAGTTTAATTTCGTCTGCGCGCAGGCTAACCTTTTGAAGAGTAGCACAGTTCCTTGCTCACAAAACCAGACAATTTTGCTTCCTTAACTGATAGTTCCATCGTATTATTTCAAAATTATTGAAACTTTGATCTTGAATGCAAACGTAAAACAGTTTTCTGGGCCCAAGAAGTTGTCGGGACTTTCAAGAAACGGGCCCTTGGGTCGGGTAGCATAAAGTTTATTAAGACTACAGGAATAATAAGTATTAGTTTTAGAAGAAAAGGTTATTATTTAAGAACAATACCTTAGCTAGGTGAAATTGGATCAGTATAACATTTTGGTAAACTGCCACCTACCCCACCCTCCCGACCCAACATTTTGCATACGTGAAAAGTAAGTGTTAACGTTGAATTAGAGGAGTAGTAGGTAGTTTACCACCAGAATCTTACATATCCAACCGCAAGTTGACGTCCGTTAATAGAGCTTTGAAAATAATTTAAAGTTTAAATGAAGTTTGTTACCTTAAGAGAAGACATAATGTTTCACTGTAATGGTGAAGTTGACAAATTTTAAACGAAGTCTTCCACGGAACGGACAGTTTTTTCCTAGTGCGTGATACGCAGAATAGAAAACGCGTACTTCTTCTCCACTTTTGCAACAACTCATTCTTTATAGAAAAGCTATCTTGTTATCAGTTTATCCAAGAAGGCTGTTATCTTTATAATTGATTTAAAAGGGGGCATGTCATCGCTCTTTCAATTACATTTCATTTACACTTCGGTGGCGGCAAGAGATGGCTTATCATCTGTCTTTGGCTAACTTCTAACGCGTGGGATGAGCTTAAAAACGTCTCAATATGAAGTTGAAAAGAAGTGCCATTAATGCTGGAAAATTGAGGGTCTATCATGACAATTAAACTCAATTTGGAAGTCGATTTCGGCTCTACGAAATCTTTGTGCATTAGCAGCGGTTATAATGTTTTATGATCTGATTAATGCCATCTAGCGTCTTTAGAGAGGAACTAAAATCAAGGGGTTAGTGTTCTAACGATACTGTGGTCTTGGTGAGAAGAAAGCAGACTGTTGTCTTCAAGTAACAAAATGTAAAATAACATTTCAGTTACTGTGGAAACAACAGCCGTTTTGATTTTTATTAAAAAAAATAATGAAGGCTAGGATTGTTAAAGGAACCTACAGTGTACGGGAGTAGGGGATGGCCGGATCATGGCTGAAAGGAAGTAAATTATTCAGTGCAGTTCGCGTGAAATCAGCCCCGCCCATGTATTTGAGACAATTCAATGTCGAGTACATATTTGTAATCTCTTAGAGCAACATTTTTAAGCAAAGAACTCAATTGCCACTACCCAAATACATTGATTAAAAAGGTAAGAGTTTAAGGAAGTAGTTAAGATAAAGGGATTATAACTTTAAGCCTCCTGTACGTTATAAAGCCCTAACGTTCCTCGAAATGAACGCCTAAAAGCTGATAAACGACATCTCTGTCTTTCAGTTAAAAACAACAATTTGATATTACGAAAAAAAGGCAATGAAACAACTCCGCTTGGATTTGTTTTCCTAGCTAGTCTGTCAAAATTGGTTTGCCTTTCATTAGTTATCTAAACAAGATTTAGGCTGAGTGTACACTCGAGCTCTATATACCAGATAGCTTCTCATGTATTATGACATGAAAAATACTCAGGCCTGGTATAAACATCTGTCCACACTACCACGACTAGTGGGACAGGAAACTTAGCTCCGATTGGTGACGTTCCACTTTCAAGATCGGCGCCGCCTGACGCTTCGCTCCGAAGAAATCACCATTCTTTATTTTTGAAAAAAAGCCCTTTTTTATATGATTTTCATGCCGGGCCAGGAGCTATCGGCGGTGATATAGCGTAGATATAACAAATAAGTGACGACACACTTAATTTAAAAGTTTGTCGTTGACGGATTATAACCTCTTGACATGTCAATCGTTTTCAGGAAATGTTAATAGACTCTTTCCCGAGTCTCTTTTGTTGCAAAAAATGGGTTTGACGTTAATGGACTTGAAAGTCAACAAAAATTGATGGTGCGATACTCTTAGAAAAGAAATAATTAAGGGATAGTTGTACAATTACAATCAAGAATTGTACTTCATGAAAATCATTTCAGAATGGTGTTAATATTAAAAATGTACTTAAACCAGTGATAAAAACTCTTTTTGTCTGGTGACAGTATTAAGTGCATAAAAGCTTTTTGCTGATGAAGGATGACGGCTTTACAGTCCTCTGCCTGAATTTGAGTTTGCATGGTGGCAATGAACGAATCGAAAGCCTTCAGTTAGAAAGTAAAACCTTTCGCTTTCTCCACTGAACTTTCTAGCCTGTTACAAGAACTGTAAAATAACTAATATTTCCTCTTTTAAATTTAAAAATAAGAACCCGAGCACTAGATATTGATATAACTAGTTACTACATATTACTCGGCCGAGCTGAGTTCCGCTGTATAAATTAGGGATATTTTGTGCCTGACCATAACTACAATAGTTGCGAAACTGTACAACCGAACTACATGTGGATTGTTTCTAGCTTCTGTTTTGCTCGACAGAGACGCGCTTCAGGGAGCAGAATTTGAGAAAAAGAAAGTTCGTTTTGATTCAGGTCAGATCGTAACGGGCAGAAAATTTACTGATCACAGAACGAGAAATAACGTGGCCATGATTTTGATGCTGCCTCAAATACGCCCACTAAATTTTGAAGGTACCGTCCGATCTTTCCACCTAAGCAAATGATCCGTATCGTAATAAACTAGATATTTTAGGAGCACATTTCAGATATTGAATGCTTTTCCCTACGCTTTAACAATCGTAAACCGTTAGTTTTCACTGATTAACCTAACGCCTTACTGCCAATATCAATAGTGGACAGGGTTCGCGTGACACGATCATGTTTAAAAGGTGTTTACGTTTTGTCGGCGTTTGCGTCTTAAAGGTGATTGCGTGTCATGATCAGCCTAAAATGCAACGTTGCGTGACTTCTAGCAATTACCCACAAATCCAAGCGAGTTACATCATCTTTTGTTCATTCAAAATATTTGCTCTTTGCGACCAAACAACAACATGGCGGGGAGCAGTGAGCTTCATAGCTTTGAAAAATGTCAGTTGAAAGCAACCACAGTTCGTGAGCGAAACGAGCTAATGTTCAACAATGAGATACTCAGTGACGTGCACTTTCTGGTGGGAAAAGATAAAGCTAGAATTCCGGGCCATAAGTACGTTTTGGCAATTAGCAGTCCAGTATTTTTTGCGATGTTTTATGGTCGAATGGCGGAGCCGGAAGGCGACGTGGCTGTTACAGACTCAGAAGTTGAATGCTTTATGGAACTTTTGCGTTTTGTTTACACCGATGAAGCAGTTTTGACACTGGATAACGCTCTTGGCGTGCTGTATTTGGCAGAAAAATATATGCTGCCAGTTTTGGCAGCGAAGTGTATCAAATTTGTCGACGCAAGTTTAAATCCGGAAAATGCCCTAACGGTTTTGTGTCATGCCAGGTATTTAACGAAGGAAGAACTTCAGGAGAGATGCTGGGAGATTGTAGATAGTTATACGACTCAAGTTTTAGACTCAGAGGCATTTCTTGAACTGGATGTTGAAACACTGTCACTACTTGTACAGCGAAACACAGTATCGGCCCGAGAGATTCAGATGTTCAAGGCTTTAAACTTATGGTCGGAAAATGAATGTTTTAGACGTGCAATTGAAGCAACAGCGGAAAACAAGAGAGTTGTAGCTTCGCAAGCAATGAAATTTATAAGATTTCCTTTAATGTCGCCGCTGGAGTTCGCCGATGAAGTTGCAAGATCGGGGATGCTCTCGTACGAAGAAACAACCAATGTATTCTTGTACTTTTTCTCGAGTCACGAAACGAAGCTTCAGTTCTCAAAAATTCCTCGCACTCCAAGAGAAACTTTAACAAAGAAAACTTTGAGATGCTTAAGATTTAAAAGCTGCTGCGGAAACGACTGGTTTTGCGATACAAGAAAATCCGATGCAATAAAATTCACAGTTGACAAACCTGTCTACGTGAAGGGGATCGCTGTGTATGGTGCAAGCAGAATTGAAGGCGATTATAAAAGCACCCTGGAACTTCTGAGAGAAACTAAAGTCCTCGCTGAGAGAAAAGTGTCTTTCTCATCCAATACAAGCTCTGCGCTGCATGATATTTTGTTTGAGAGGCCAATTTTAATCGAGAAAAATGTTGTGTACACACTGAACCTTCAGCTGCAAGGTCCTTGTTCACAGAGTGGAAGGGATGGGTTTTCAGTTGTGGTTGCAGAGGGAGTAAAATTTACGTTTTTTGAGCATACAAGTCCTAATGGAACCTCAGTTACTGCAGGGCAAATACCTGAAATTATCTTTCAGCTATAAAAATTACCATCAACATTTGATTTGAGCCATGATTGATCAAAAATGTAATTAATTAATTATGATGCAATTAAAGCATTCCCAAGGGAAATAATAAATATTGCATTAAGATGTAAATATTAACTTGGGCAATATGCTGTAAATAGTGGTGTAAACAAACGAAAGGTTGTATTCTTTTCCATAAAAATGCATTTAAAACTATGAGGGAAAATTGTAAATTTTTAAAAATTTATATTGCAAGAATTTAAGGGGAAGAATTTTATGCAATTCTTAAGTTTGCTTAGTTTAACAGATTATATTGTAATGTCAATGCAATTGATACATGACTATCTTTTGTGCCAAAATTAAGGCAATTTGCAAATTCTGTATTGTATGTTGTTGGAATTTTATCCAAAGGTGCATCAGTCATTTCCATAACTTGTAAGAAACGAAAGTATTAAATGCTTGAATATATGTACAATGTTTTCAGATATGTTAGCTGTGTGGCAGCATTTTTATGCAATACTATACTTGTATATTATGTGCAGTACCGCATATTATGTAGAGTAACATCTTTTGCTTTCAAAATACAGAATAAGGGATGTTATTCATACTATGGTAAGTAGGCTAAAAAGTTCTGCTAAAAAGCAACCAGATGTAACCTTGGCTATTTAAGAGGATATTTTAGTTATACCACAAACTTGTGAAAATAGAAAACCAGCAATGTGAAAACCTTGAGTTATTTTTGCTGTCTGTATTTTTACCCAGCTATCCTTCAAAATTCAGTGAGCATTGGTTTGAATAACATGTGCTTTTAATAGTGAAGTCATGCTGATCACATGATATTGTATGGAGATGAGTTTATTTTACCGTGCAATGTCATTGTTCATCTCTGCAGGTTAGCTCTGCCAAAGAATTCCTGCTTTCCAATCACACCAGCTATAAGTATTCACACTACATATGCAAACTTCTAGGTCCTGGCTATCTAATAATAATAAAATGTTGTCAGTTTCTGCTTTTTGACTGAAAACAATAAAAATAAAAGTGTAGTCACCCTCTTTTCTTTTTCCCCTCATCCATCTCTTTTTAAATATTACTGTTGCTACAATTATCAGACAGCCCAATATCCCCTATTGCAAAAGAAAGCTATTACATTGAAATTTATAGTTAATTATTCAGCTTAAAATAGACTCTTAGCTTGATGTGGCTGTGTTCCCCTCATTCACTTTTGGATTTCAAGTGACGGGAATGATTGAATGGCAAATATCATAACCCAAAAAATCCCTAGGGCTTCCAACAAAACCCTAAAAGATCCCTGGACAAAAAAATTAACTCCCAAAACATCCCATTCCGAATTTCTAAGCCTTAAAAATTTCCAGAAAGCATTAAATGATATAACATGCTGTACTTTATTTGGAGAACTATGCTTAAGGGATACGAGAGTGCACTACCAGGAATCTTCAGATTATTTTGAATACCCCCAAAATCCCTAGGAAATAAAGCCACCAAAAGAATACTTGCCCAATTTTCCTACCCCAAAAAATTCTGAAATAATCCCAGAATAAAAAATTTCAAACCCATAAAAATCCTTTGGTCATCCCCATCACTTGAGATCCGGAGTACCCCCTATGGGTTTTTATAACTTCTGGAGGCAACAGAGGCTAGACAGGGTTTTCGTTTGAGGCCGGAAGGCGGACGTTTTGTCTGGTTGTTTGCCATTCTATGTCCACTACTTTGATACCCATTTTTGAGGGTTTTTAATTTTTTTTTAATTATCATTTTTTTTACTTAAGCAACCCGTGAACTTACTGCCATTTCTCACCCCTCCCCTTTCCCCTACTGAACTGTCCAATTTCACTAAAAATTTTACTTTTTAAAGAGAATTTGAGTGAACTCCAGCCTTGCCTGGGAAACTGATTCTTGGGCCCGGGGGGGAGTACTCCCTTTCCAGAAACGATGGAAACAGCGTTTCTGAGTGTTCTATTTTAAAAATTTCCTGGGGGAACCTGCCCCCAGATCCCCCTAGGTAACTCGCACCTTTGGTGCTCGCGTGAAGGCATCTTGGGGTGCCAAAATCATTTTGCGTCCGGTGCTTTCAGATATATGTCAGCTACTTTGAAAAAACTGTCAAAAACCCTGGGCTAGAGGCATTAACATACCCTGTGTGGTGACACATATCCGTTAGCGCGAATATGGGGATACCCCCACCCAACCATCCTTCCCGGGGGCATCGTAGATATCTAATATCCAAAAACTCAAGTACTGTTCTTCTGGCCTTAGGAGGAAAATTTTACTTTTACACAGGCTGTGTCATAGTTTCGTCAAACACGTTTATATCTTTTCGTTTTCAACGTTTTCCACAGAGGAACAGGACCGGATAGGAGCTGCGAGGAACTGGGATCTACGATCATTCTCGAGCAGAAACTCGAGCGCGAAACTAGGAACACTGGGAACGAGTTTGCTGGAATTATGGCGGACGAAGGTGAGGTATCGGTTTTGCCGGTGGAAAAGTCTAATAGCAGTTCAAGTTCTGTCCCTGCCTCAGTAGAACAAAGTAATGTAAAACCTGAAGCAGCAACTGCAAATAAACGTGACAGCCTTCCAGCTGGTGTAGCTCCTATCAAGGCAGAGTAAGTACTTTGATTCATAAAGCACATGGTTGCCATCAACTTGCGATTTGCAGTTTGAAAGAAGAATTGTTCGATATATCATCTGTTAATCTTGAACTTAATTTTATTACTGTGTGCAAATGAGAAAAAGCAGCACTAAAATGAACAGGGTTTATGAAGAAGTGAACATGTAGGTTGTATGTTGTCTGTTTTATGCCCAAGGGGGAGGGGGGGGGGGTACTCCCTTATAAGGGCTTAATGGGGACGTGCGGCCTGCCAGGGTATGTTTTTCGGGATTTTTGTCTTAAACAGGGTATCAAATTTATCATTTTTTGTCTTAATCAGGGTATCGATTTATCAATTTTTGTCTTAAACAGGATAAATGTCTTAAACAGGGTATCAAAAATCGGAATTCTGTCTTAAACAGGGTAGGAAAATCCAGCGATATTTGTCTTAAACAAGGTCAGGGTATGAGGGGCTGCACCGCACCTCCCCAGCCAGGGATATATCGAGTACCCCCGAACAAAAGCCTAAATTAGCCTCAATGTACTTCCTGACATTCTCAGCATGGTGTGGGGGAATACACGGCATGTCCACAGATCTTGTCCCTATAATAATAATTATGATGATAATAATAATGATTTGGAGGTAGCACATCCACAAAGTGTTTATTTGTCCACCTGATTCCTGGACGAATTGGAATTTGGAAATATTGGTTTTTGAGGAGAGGGGAAAACTGGAGTACCCGGAGAAAAGGAGAGAACCAACAATAAAGTCAGTTTAAAGAGCGGCCTCCTTGATTATTCAGCCAGTTCTAGTAAAGTTTAGGGACTCTTTACATTCAACCAAACCCTGAACTTTGAATTTTCGTCAACTTCCAGTAGCAAATGGAACAGCATTTTCCAAAATTTCCAATAAAGAGGACAAACTTGTGAGGTATACCCTAATTTTTAAATTTTTTTTTCCTAGAAGTTTTCTTTCTATTCATTTATGCTCTTGGAATTTTTGGTTGAATGGTTAACATTTTGGATACTCAACACTGTCTGGAATTTCTTACCCTGCGAGCAGAGGCTTCATTTTCGCTGTTTGAGCTGTCGTGCAAAAAGTAGCCTCTGGCAACAACCGTTCAATTTTCTATCGTGCTCGCGCGAAATTCGTCACGCAATTCGCAAGAAAAGTAATAATTATTGTCAGGTCTGTCGTTCAATGGCGCCAGTTTCATAGGAATAAAAAAATTGCGACAACTCTGTCAGATCTGCTACGCAAGGCTCACGCAAGACTCACGTAATGCTCTAAACCGGTCAAGAAAAGGAAAAATCGCTTTTTTAATTTATACATCCAGATTTCTGGACGGATTTGAACTGTTGTCGGCGGAGGCTACTTTTCCCATGCCAGCTCACCCACCGAAAATGTAGCCTCTGCTTGCAGGGTAGGAATTTCTGGAAACTTTTCTAGTAAATTTCTAGACCATTTGCTGCTCCTTCCAAAGTTTCGAAAGTTTTTTTCACAGCAATGGACTGGGATGGAGTATATTCTCTCCTGGTACACCAACTTGCAAAGCCTCGGGCCGATTCTTCCATATCTTATGCATTTAGGCTCATTTGGCTTTGTATGTGGCCTGGGTGTTCCCGGTGAAAATATATTATGATTTTATATCATATCCTTGGAATAAATTTTGTTGTACATTGTTTCAAACTCATTATCATGCATTACCGTTGCTGGTTTGCTAGTGGACAAGAACAAAAGCATCTCCCTTCTGCTTTTTCATGCTTTTAACACTTAACTGTTTTGTCACCAACATAGAAGAATAGCCAAAAAGAATACCCAAAAAAGGAAAATAAAATTTTAAACAAGGACAAAATTTAACTGAAAAAAGTATATTCCAGTAGTATACATAATTTATATTATGTTTGTCAACTTTTTGATATGAGCAAGACTGTCAAAAAGTTTTTAAGTAGCAGGCTGATACTGAATGGTGGGCGGCCTTAGAACTCACACCAAAGGCACAAGTTCTTGAAAGTCGAGACATCTAGGGACATTTTGAAATTTAGAGTCTATTGTTTTATTGTTTTTGTTTGCCAAAAATTGTACAAATCAAATAAAATCTAATTACTTAAACTCTCATGGCGAGGAAGCCCAAGAGAAGCCACCGGGCTTATAAGGAATGGGCTCCCTCAGTTAGATAATTAGAACAAAATATTATCATAATGACACATAGGAAAATCAATGGCAGAACTACAGTAAATCTTAAAATAAGTATATTAGATAGTCGTACTTATCATAGTTCTAGGCTAAAAAAAGCGGAATGACAAAAAGAAAAAAAAACAAAAATAAAATAAAAGAGCAAAGGAAGAAAAAAAATACATATATATACATATAAATTACTATTTATGATAAGAGGAATGCTTTCAGCTTACAGCAAAAGGAAGCGGTACTTGTTGCATTTCGAATTTCAAAACTAAGAGAGTCTCTCGCGGAAATGGTATTTGTAGGGGTTTTCAAGAGGTATTTTCCACCATGGATGCCATGTTGTTTCATCAGAATACATGCAAGACTGCGAACAATACTGTCAAAATTTCCATGACATCACACAGTTCAAAGTTCAGCAGATCTAAACCCATTATTTTAAATATGCATTCAATATCACTCAAAACTTGGAAACGGATGCTTTACAATTTAATTCAATTTTTTGTTAACAGTTGTGGTAGAAGGAGGTAAAAGTAGTTGGCTAAGGATGGCTAACTAGCTGGCAGTTTTGGCCAGCTACCAGCCCTTATGAAGTCTATGTAGTCTTGATACATCTCCAGAAAGCCCATAACAGCTTCACCTTATAGTGATTTCCTGCCCCAAAAGGAGTTCACCCCTTCCCTAGGTTTTGAGTCTGTCTTGCAAGTTCAACCGAGGGCATAAATAATGCACATTAAATTATTGCTTTAACTCATTGGTAACTTATACCTAAGGACAATAGTTCACTCACTCCCCCCCCCCCCCAAACATGCTCTATCAGTGCTCCATTTTACGGGTACTTAAAGCAACATGGAAAGAAAAGAAGTTGAAAGAAGAATTTATTTGGGGTTACACCTGGGAATTAAACTTGGAACTTCCTGCACCAAAGAGTGCCCAATGATCAACTATGCTTATCCTTGCTCATTCTTAGAATCTACATGTACTATACTACATGTTTAACTTATTTTATAAATGTTCCTTTTCCATCAAGAAACAAAATATTCATTTCTTTATACCCATGTCTTGTAATCCTAAAACAGGTTTTTAAAGAAGTTTTCAAAATGTGAAGCAAGAGTAGTAATAACAGCGACAGTTAATTCTGATAAGCATGAAGACAGTGAAGATGCTGAAGATAAAGAAGTTGAATCAAACAGTCATAAAGAAGAAATTGAAGGCGAAAAGACCGGAGAACCACCAGCAAAAAAGAAGAAGAAAAGGGGAATGAATAAAAACAGGCCAAGAGCAGTACAACTTGATTTCAAAGTTCAGTTATGCAACAGTATTGCAAGGGGTGAGGAATGTGCATATGGTGATAAATGCAGATATCTGCATGACGTTACAGAGTACATGGAAAAATACAAAGCTTCTGATATAGGAGAGAACTGTGTAAACTTTGAGAAGTTTGGTTATTGCATATATGGTGTAACATGTCGGTATGGAAAGAGACACATTTCCATGGATTTAAAAAATATTGTGAATGCAGAGTTATATGAAGAGACTGTTTCTTTGAGGACAAAGAGTGCTCTAAGCAAAGAGCTGACAAATGTTTTGAGGAAAAGGAAGTATGAATTTCCTCAAGCTGAGACATATTTGAAGCATCTAGCAAAAGTGAAGGCTGAAGGAAAGCCAAACAGTGAACTTGGAAACTTGGCAAGAATTCCTGCCAAACTTGAGGGGCCTGCTTCTGATGAGGATGTTATTAAGCTTAGACCCGAGGAAAAGAAAAAGGTGAAATGGAGTGAATTTTAAGTTTAATTAGGTGAAGAGATGGCACAGTCTCTGCATGTTATAACATGGCTGTTACTAAAGCAGGGGTGAATCCAGGACTGGTGATATAAACATATTTTAAAGGGGAATACAAAGAAGAAGGCTTTTGACTAAGCAATAACATAATGTGAACTGCTGAGAATACATATCATACATATCTGCATATTTTGCAGAACACCAGTTGTATTAGAAAGCCACAAGTCATCTCGGGGGTGGGGGGTGGGGGGGCACACCCCCTGCACCCTCCCCCTAGTTCCATCCCTGTAAAGGTGGTCTTCTTTAGCAAGAGCAAGGGAGTCAGAGTCGCAGTTGTAAGGGGAGTCCAGTGAAAACGGCATTGTTGAAGTTGGAATCAGAAGCAGAAGAATAATTAACCAATCACTGTCACTGCTCATTCCCATGCTTTTGTGATTGGTTTAGTCCTTCCACTTCACTTCTGCTTACAACTCTGGCTAGTTAAGTTTTCACTAAATTGTAGCCAACAGAGACATAGGCAGAATGGAAATGCTGTTTTTTACTAAATTATAACACTTTATAATAATTATAAAGTGTTATAATTTAGTAAAAAACAGCAGGCTTCCACATGATTGTGACTCCAACTTGTGTCACTAGTTAAGACCATCCTTAATAAAACAGGCTTAACACAGACGCTGAGTCTAAAGAACATTTTCTTAACTACACTTCAAATAATATTAAAAATACGTGTATGTGTTGTAGAGAAAATCTATTCCAAGTAGTGTGCTGTGATCTTCTGCAGTTCATGTATTTTGATGTTTTCTGGGATCTGGGATCTATTTCTCCAAGTTTTTCTTTATTAGTCCCTTGAGGACTCCTATCACTACTGGAATCGTTGTGTCTTTCATGCCCCACCTTGGTTCAATCTTGATTTCAATTGACAGTCTTTAAGTTACTTTAACTGTTGTTGTTATTATTATTATTTATTGTTATTGCCATCATCACCAGTATTAATGTTATTACTGATGTTATTAAAACATAACTAACAGCTTATTTCATCTTTCTTTTACTTTTAAGATTAATTTTGCAGACAAGCTGTATTTGGCTCCACTTACCACTGTAAGTCTAAAACAAAAATTGACCCTTTCAACAGAAGTTGATAGAGTGTTTGTAATATTTTTTAGATGTTTAATTATGTCTTGTTTACCAGAATGCATATATATTTTTAATATTTAGGTGGGAAATCTACCTTTTCGCAGAATATGCAAACAATTTGGGGCAGACATAACATGTAGTGAAATGGCCATGTCCACAAAACTGCTTCAGGTAAGTAAAAGAGAATAAAAATTTAAATATTTTCATTATAATAGTCTTGATCATGTATGTAATGTATTATGTTATGTTAAACACTTTAAGTCTGGTCCTGAGAGAAACTGTTAATTTTGTTTCCTGAGAATCTCAATGTTCGCCAAGGGAAACATTGAGATTTAAGGGGAACAAAATATGAACTGTTTCCCGAGGGACCAGTCTTGAAGTGATTTGTAATATATAGCTGGAAATTTTGAAGCTGGAAATTCATTAAACCAGGCAACAGGGCACTGTTAGCCTCTGATGTCATAGATTTTGCAATGCTGCTCACTCACAGATTTTGGCGGGAAACAGTTTCATTGTTAGAATAAGATGTTATGTGACTTCAAATAACCAATGAAAGGGGGAAAAAATTTCCTGCAAAATAATATGTACAATGTATTATGTATTTTTTGATCACACAATCTCCACTATCAAATTGCCAATGAAGACCAAAAAATTTGGAAAATATTAAATTAGAATTAGATTTCAAGAACTCAAATTGCTCTGATTCAGGAATTTTGTTCAACATAATATAGTCTGGTATGTTTGGCTTTGTAGTAGCATTTTGCAATGACATATGAAGGGAATGTTCTTCTCAAAACTTTCCACCTGAATTTTTTTAAAAGCACTTTTCAGCACTTCTTTGCATAGCATTTTTTGTTCTTGGTTCTGTCTATGGTGACAGCCATGTTATTTGACATATTGTGAAAGGTATAACAGACCACTGTCTTAGTCTTTCATTCTATAAAACTGGTCTTAATGCTTTATAAATTATCTAACTTAAAACTCATGCATCCAATAGAAATGATCATCACAAATAAAACATCTAGATTTATCATAAAATTCCCATCACAATTGCCAAACAAAATTTGTGGGGAATGGTGAAAAATGTAGAAGTAAGTAAGTAAATAAATATATAACATATGTTACAGGTCAAAATTAGATTCAGGTTAAAAATTTGTAACCTAGGTTGATCTTCAATTTCCTTTGTCTTCTAGCTAGCCCAAATTCATGAATAATTTGGTCTAGGAGACAAAGGAAATAAAGAATCAACCTAGGTTGAAAATTTTTAACGTAATTAAATAAAAATAAACCTGTAAAATATACTTGTCAATGTCGATCAACATCTTGATGATGTGTTGTTAGTAACACACTATGTTTGTACATGTACATTTAGGCTAGCATGTCAGAGTGGGCACTTCTCAAACGACACAGCTCGGAGGATATTTTTGGTGCTCAGGTAAAAATCATTATCCAGTAAAAGCCTCTCTACTCTTTTGTTTCCTTTCCTGTCTGGCTGTTTTTAAATGTCCCCAGTTATTAACAACAGCAGCAGCAATAAGTGTCAATAGTTTAATAGTTTATTAATCCATAATAGTAATCCAGATTAATTTAAACAATGTTGCATCCTTTTTAACATTTTTCAAGGGCTATAGATAGAATTAGTTGTCTGTAATAAAACCAAAGACTATTTCTCATGGGAGCCCAAGAAAATAAATGTTCAATTTCACAAGAAGAGTGAAAACACAGCTAAAATATCATGGGAAAAAAAGCTCCACAAAAAAACTAGCCTGCGTAGCAGGCGTCGAAAGAGGTAGGAGATAGGGAGAAAGGGAAAAAGGGAGGGGAATTGGGGAGAGAGGGGAAGGGACGCCTGCTATAAGAACCCTCTTTTGTTCATTTCTGCGGATGCCAGCGTCCGCAAATTCCTGATTGGCTGAGCCGTAATGAGTAACTTATTGGCGTGTATCCTGGCGTGTATTGGTGTGAGCGACAGACATAACAACGGCATCAAGAAAATGTGTTCTACTGGCATAAGCCTTGGAAGATCAAAATTACTCCAATCATGTAGCAACTTCACGTTAAAACCCGAACTAAAACCAACTGTAGCAGCTTGTTTAGCAGGAAAAGATGCTCAGGAGGTTTTGTATACTGGATTTGTCCAAACACCGAGCGGCAATTTAAAGCAATTGCGATTCTTGCCAGACATCTGCAATGCTGATATTCAAAAGACCTCCTTTTCTGCAAAAACATATACCGTCTTGAATGGAGTTTTAGATGGTTTGCAAAGAGAGAGCTGAAGCTTTGGTAAAACTATGCGTTGAGCGTCTTAAAAATTGTTTATAATTCTGCGTTGCTTTCATTATTCGCGTCTGTTCTGTTCTTTGTGACCACCATGGTGCTTGATGAGGTTGTAAGATAAAAGGTCTTGTGTATTCACACGAAACTGATCATTGTTTGTCGTAGACTGGGAGCAGTAAGAAAATGAGAGACTGTTCGTAGTCTGTTTGTCGTGTTTGCTGCGGGAACAAGAACAGTAAAAATGTTTCATTTCACTCGATTATGATATCACTTGAAAAAAGCGTCTCAACTTGACAATTTCCGGTAAACAAAGTAATTAAGTTCGGACCATGCTGAGAAGCCCCATACTTGTGATTGGTCACGTATTGACAGTGATCTGATCGGATTAGTTCAGAAAATGGTGGGCGGATTACAAAAGCACCGGCTCTTATAGCAGGCACTCCCTTCCCTTTCCCCTCTTGTGCTTTTCTCCCTCCCCCCTCCCCTTTTTGCACCTGCCACGCAGGCTACAAAAAACTCTTTGCTTGGACAAGTGGCTATATGTTACAGGTCATAATAATTAAAGTTAGGTTGGAATTTTTTAGCCTTACTGTGGTTGATTCTCGCTTTCCTTTTTCTTCTAGCCCTAATTATTCTGAATTTAAAGGCAAGGAGAGAAAAAAAATAATCTAAAAAATTATCCAAATCATACTGAAGTAGAATCCAACAGAATATCACATTAGTAAATGACTGTAATCTCTTGGGCAAACAGCGGCAGTTGTAAAGCTGAGCTTCTGAAAAATATGAACAATGCTTTTTTTCTGCTTCTTTCCTTTTCCAGCTGTGTGGTTCATATCCTGATAGTATGGCAAGATGTGCAGAACTTCTTCAGAATGAAGTACCTATAGACTTTGTGGACATCAATATTGGATGCCCAATTGATTTAGTCTTTAAACAGGTTTGTAAGAAGTTTCTCTCTCCAAAAAGGAAATGGGTGGGCCAGCGGAAATTTTTTGCATTGAGCCTTTAAATTATTGTGTATGAATACTAGTTTTGAAACCAATTTCAAGTGCGTGCTTTAAAAAATCACTTTTGATGTTAACCTTAGTTCAGTTAGAGTTAATTATCTTTCTATCATGCATTAACCCAAGCCAGAGGACTTCATGGAAACGATCGTTTCCAGCAGTACCATGTCATTAGCGTTGTCTCAAAATAGATAGATCTTAAAAACTTGCAGCCAAAGGGCTGAATTGCGATAAAGTTTGCAAATTAATGTTATAATTCACTCGTAATTATTGAAAGATGGTCATAATTATTTTTATTTCAAAACTGTTGTAGAATTACAAATTCAAAAGCATCCGGAACTGAAAAACAGTTTCCCAGTAACATTTAGGGATCATTCAGTTTACAGAATTTCACTATTTCGACTTAGATTCTTGACTGAGAAATTCTTTAGTTACATAACTGAGCTTATGTACAATTTAAATGTTGTTTAGTATGTATCAGTTTTCTTTTGTCTGTCATCTTGAATCATTCCCAAATTGCGTTGCACATTACTGCTTTATGGCTTCCAGTGCGTAGAAAAAATTATATGACTTTGAAAAAATTGAAAATGTTTAGGAAGTCGATTCCCATGAATTTTCATGAAATCAAAAAATTATTCATGATTGTCACAGATGGTTTCCCATGACCTCTGCGCAAGGGACCAAAAAATTGTTTTCCATGACATTTGAAATCTTAGGGCTTGCTAACAATGAAAACCAACAACAGCTCCAACTTGATTTTTCACATTTCAGGGAGCTGGCAGTGCCCTGATGGGTCGAATGACAAAGTTTGAACAGATTGTCAGAGGCATGAATTATGTAAGTAAAAACTTAGTTCCTTTCGTACATGTAAGCTGTGTGGATGTACATTTGGTTGTGAAACATAATATGCCATTTTAATGTTTGATTGAATGTGCATGTTCGTGCAAGGAGGTCAAAGGCCCGTATTTTGGCTCTTAGTTTTTCACTTTTGGTCCAGCAGAAACCATATTTGGTACAACAATAATATATTTTCTTCTAACTTGTTCTATGAATCCTCTTCTAATTCATGTTATAATGAAGTTGTTGTTGTTGCTGTCGTTGATTCTGAAAGCATAATCTGATCATGTTTTTGCTGACTGGACAGCAGTTATTAACCTTATTTTGATGTGGCATTTTTTATGTTAAAGGTTCTGGATATTCCCCTAACAGTGAAGATGAGAACAGGAATCAGTGACAAAAAGACATCATGGAATGCACACAAGCTAATTAGCAATCTCAAAATGTGGGATGTTTCACTTGTAACTGTAAGTGTATTGGATATCATGAAATTTACAGCTGTAGTTTGGTAAATTCACCATTTTTGCATAGATCATTAAGGCACATTGTTTACTCCCTCCATAACCAGTGCCTTCAATTTCTCTTGGGACGACTGTAATACCCTGCAGGAGAAATTGGAAACAATGGCTATCGTAAACAAGGTGCATTATGGACTATTGAAAATAATGAATTATTTTGAGACAGCTGGGAGTGTTTTAAGCAGTCAACTTATCCTGTTTCTATTTCATTGTGTTTATTGCTGGCACTCTAGCTCCATGGTCGCTCCAGGGAACAACGATACTCAAGACTGGCTGACTGGGAGTATATCAATGAGTGTGCAAAAGCTGCAGCCCCAATGCCGTTATTTGGTAAATAATCCATTTTACTTTTCGTATTTATTTGATTAAGCCCTCAACCTCAAATAAGTACCCACCACGAATAACCACCTACCCTGTAGATAGGGAAAGTTAATGCCTAGCCTCGAATAAACCACCCACTCCTCCCCCCTAAAAGAATTTACATTACTAGCAATGAGATTAAAATTGACTATAAATAAAGCACTACTGTAGATGTGTAAGAGACTTCCCCATAGGACTGAGTTTTCTTAGAATGTTAAAGAAACTTTCAAAGAACACTCCCAATTCTGCTTTCAAATGGTACATTTTCATGTTTTGTTGTTATTTATTGTTTTGTTACCAAATTATCTTACTACTTGGTGAAAAATGGGTGACTACCCCCGCTTATCTCCAGGTCTGGATCCAGCACTGTGGTGCACACCTATTTTCCACTGTATGATTGCTCTCTCCTTTTGCAATCGGTGCATGGACAATTTCTGAGGACTATGTGGCTGTATTTTTTACCATCTCAACCTCGCAGAATATATAAACTGGAGAATCAGAAGGCTGAGAAGGGGTTGCCAGGAAAACATAAGCGTACTTAATCTCACTGCGTTTGTTGTGTCTAAAAACTTCCCCACAATGAAATCAGTAAGGGGTTGATTTCATATCCAACAACAACAACACCAGCGTAACTGGCGCTTGGCTTGGCCTGATGTGGGTTATTGACCAACGGCTGACACATTTCTTGTTTCCTGGGACAGTTTTAGACTTTGCAGTTTCCTGCGGTTTCTGGGGTGGAAATGAAAATTTATGGGAGATCGTTGCAAGCTCTCCCCTTCTTTCCGACCACTCACGCTCACGCCCCTTTTCGTGTGCTGCTCTCATGTTTATAGTGGCTCATGAGCATCCTCTTGAGCTAGTGCATGCTAGCTACATGGCAAGCTTAAAAACTGACTTTCTCTGCACCCTGATAAGCGGTGACTATTCTATTTCAGGTGGTGAGCGAAAGTTAAGTTCTTTCAAGGTAGAGGCATTAATAAATTATTTATGTTGTAACTTTTGACAGGCAATGGAGACATCCTCGCCTATGAAGATGCCATATTGAGAAAAGAGCAAACAGGAGTTTCCGGTTTGATGGTGGCAAGGTGCGTACTCTCAGTGTTTTTCTTAACCCCTTAAGTGATCAGCATCAAATTTCTCCTTGTAATGCTTTGTAAAACACAGTGGTCATGAGAATTACGGCCGTTATGAAATCACACAAGATGAATTTGCTTGATATTTTTAATCAACTTCTCCCCACTACTTCTGTAGGAAATGAATACGAACAACAAATGAGAATTCAAATTTTGATCTTAGGGTTAAAAGAGTCAAAAGCTTGCAGTTGAAAAAAAAAAAAAAAACTCTATATCATTAATTTTCTTGTTATAGGCGGCAGGTCCTAAGCATACCTGTACTATCTTAAAGACTAGCTAACTCTCCATGGTGCTATGAGTTGAAACCACCAGCCAGCAATGCAATGTAAATGGCATGGGTGTTGGCAATGACTTGAGCTGCTTCAAACTTAACGTGTCCCACATGTGTTTATTTACCAAGAATAAAGCAAAAGGGTTGAATATAATATGTGATTATTTTTGTTTCTACAGGGGAGGTCTGATCAAACCCTGGATATTTACAGAAATCAAGGAAAACAGGTGTGAATTTCTCGCCTTTTTGTTGAAAGGCTCTTCTCAACTCGCAGGTGCTATCAGCTGCGGCCAATTTGTTTCTTTTCAGTTGCCTGGACTGGAGTTACATTTTATAGAGAAGAGAAGTCTGACATCACAAAAATTGAATTTGTGAAATTATAGGATTATAGTTGGCTTATTCACATCCTCGGAGACTAAGCCTGTTAATGCAAATTGTTGGGGATATCAATGTTAGCATAGTTATGGCCTGATGATGATCGATCCCAAACAAATCTTTCTAAGATTGGCTTGGATTGTAACGTTAACGATCCAGGCCTATTTTAGAAGGATTTATATGGAGTTAGACTGTTCACAGTCCTCTATTTTTCTGTCAGATTGTCAAGATCGAGCGCTTTGCGTTACGCGTTACGGGTTACATTATGAGTGTCAAAATTACTTAGGGGGCGGGGGCGGTTTGGGAGGAAGCCCCCCCTCCCCCCAGAGCTACAATCCCCGACACCCGCCCCCTCGTTTCATTTGAAAATCAAGATGGGCATCGTTAATAGTAAGACGCGCTATATCTCAACGATCTCACGAAAAAATAGGGGACTGTGAACAGCCTGATATGGAGTCATCAGATGGGCATAATGGTGCTTATACATCTCCCCACCAATTTGATTTTTAGCAAGTCAGACATATTTCATATTGTCCTTTCTGGATATGCCAATCTATCCCATAATTTCACAAATTTAGATTGTATGATGTCATGTCACTTCTCTTCTTCAGCATGTTTGAATGGAATTTCTTGAACTACGTTGTAGGCACTGGGATATCTCATCAAATGAACGCCTAGACATGTTGCGAGATTTTGTGAATTTTGGTTTGGAGCACTGGGGATCTGACTCACAGGTATGTCAAATACTGTTTATAGATAAATGACAGCCAGGGTGTTAAGATAGGAGCATGTTATCCAACTCAGGTTACAATGTGTACCCCGATTAGTCAATCAATAAAAATTGGCAATCAATAAAAGCAATCGATCAATAAAAGGAATCAAGTGATCACTTTCTTATGAAATGAATTCTTTTGATAATTGAAAATAAAAAATTAAATTACTCAAAGTTCGAATCTTCACAGTTAATTTTGACCTTAATAATTTAATTTATTGTCTGTTTTCAGGGAGTTGAAAATACTAGAAAATTTCTTTTGGAGTGGTTGTCATTTCAGTGTCGGTAAGTTACTGATTTTTTAGGCTTTGTTTTAAACTTTGAGTTAAAAAATTGCAAAACGATCCAAACGTGTTCAACACTAGCTCATCATCAGGGTCTAGGCTTTGTTTGCAAGTAATTTTGAAAGAAACAACAATCCCCCTTTTATTTGTTATCTAGTAGTGTATTTTCAATGTTTGTATAACAACTTAATGAAGGCCTGATGAAATATTAAATTTGGTATTAAAGACATTATGCCCACCCAGGGGGGCTAGTAGTTATATAGGGATGAAGATAAGCCCCGTTAGTGTCTAGCACGGTCTAGCTAGGTCTAGTCAATGACGTCACCCATTCTTATAACCTACATACTAATTTGGATTAGGTTTACTAATGAGCGTCGCTCTACTACAATAGGAACAATAGGCTTGTCTAGACTTGCCCGGGCTCTTTTAACCCTGATTGGATAGTAAACAATCTATTATGTGTTTAACATAAAAGCGCTCTCCGTTCAGCATTTTATTCTTGCAATCGCTTTGCCAAGGAAAAAAGTCTTACTATCACCAATATTCTTTAAACGTTGCTCCAAACATGCAAGTCGAATCGAACTGTAAACTCTTTATTTCAAGTTTGTCTGACTATTACAGAACCGTTTTCTCCTTTCTATCTCGAGGAAATGAAAGTCTTGTCATTTTCACGCACGGTTAATCAGTTAATTATGCGAGTTCGCAAGCCGAAAGTTGAATACAAATTAGCTCTACAGCTAGACCCAAGGAGCACCTTGAAAATAGTCAAAGAAATCAAGCTCTTTTTTTTAAAATCGTTTCCCTCCTCAATTTTTTAATTCCCTCCTCCACAATTGTAATATTTTCCCTCTATTTTTTTTATTCCCTCCACCACAATTTTAATATTTTCCCTCAATTTCATTATTTCCCTCCTCAATTTTTTTTCTTTTCCCTTCTCCACAATTTTATTATTTTCCCTCCTCAATGTTTTTATTCCCTCCTCCACAATTTTTATCATTTTCCCTCCTCAATGTTTTTTATTCCCCTCCTTCACCTCCACCTCCTCATTCATTCTATATATTTTTCCATCCACAAATACATCGACCCCACATCGACCCTACATCGATCCCACATCGACCCTACATCGACCCCACATCGACCCTACATCGACCCTACACTCAACTTTTTTTTTAAAACTGCTTCGTAAATAGTGAAGCTATATACCACCACCGCCACCACCACCACCACCACATTTCTATTGTTTTCCCTCCACCACCACCACCACCACCACCACCACATTTCTATTGTTTTCCCTCCACCACCACCACCACCACCACCACATTTCTATTGTTTTCCCTCCACCACCACCACCACCACCACCACATTTCTATTGTTTTCCCTCCACCACCACCACCACCACCACCACCACATTTTTATTCTTTTCCCTCCACCACCACCACCACCACCTTTCTATTGTTTTCCCTCCACCACCACCACCACCACCACCTTTCTATTGTTTTCTTTCCTCCTCCTCCTCCTCCTCCTCCTCCTCCTCCTCATTTCTATTGTTTTTCTTCCTCCTCCTCCTCCTCATTCTATTGTTTTTCCTCCTCCTCCTCCTCCTCCTCCTCCTCCTCCTCATTTTTGTTCCCTCCTCCTCCTCATTTTTATTGTTTTCCCTCCTCCTCCTCATTTTTGTTTTCCCTCCTCCTCCTCCTCCTCATTTTTATTGTTTTCCCTCCTCCTCCTCCTCATTTTTATTGTTTTCCCTCCTCCTCCTCCTCATTTTTGTTTTCCCTCCTCCTCCTCATTTTGGTTTTGGTACAGGAGGGGTACAGGAGGGGTACAGGAGGGGTACAGGAGAAATGAGGAGGAGGAGGAGGAGGAGGAGGAAAGAAAGCAATAGAAATGTGGTGGTGGTGGTGGTGGTGGAGGGAAAACAATAGAAATGTGGTGGTGGTAGTGGTGGAGGGAAAACAATAGAAATGTGGTGGTGGTGGTGGTGGTGGAGGGAAAACAATAGAAATGTGGTGGTGGTGGTGGTGGTGGTGGAGGGAAAACAATAGAAATGTGGTGGTGGTGGTGGTGGTGGTGGTAGAGGGAAAACAATAGAAATGTGGTGGTGGTGGTGGTGGCGGTGGTGGTATATAGCTTCACTATTTACGAAGCAGTTTTAAAAAAAAAGTTGAGTGTAGGGTCGATGTAGGGTCGATGTGGGGTCGATGTAGGGTCGATGTGGGATCGATGTAGGGTCGATGTGGGGTCGATGTATTTGTGGATGGAAAAATATATAGAATGAATGAGGAGGTGGAGGTGAAGGAGGGGAATAAAAAACATTGAGGAGGGAAAATGATAAAAATTGTGGAGGAGGGAATAAAAACATTGAGGAGGGAAAATAATAAAATTGTGGAGAAGGGAAAAAGAAAAAATTGAGGAGGGAAATAATGAAATTGAGGGAAAATATTAAAATTGTGGTGGAGGGAATAAAAAAAATAGAGGGAAAATATTACAATTGTGGAGGAGGGAATTAAAAAATTGAGGAGGGAAACGATTTTAAAAAAAAGAGCTTGATTTCTTTGACTATTTTCAAGGTGCTCCCTTGGGTCTAGCTGTAGAGCTAATTTGTATTCAACTTTCGGCTTGCGAACTCGCATAATTAACTGATTAACCGTGCGTGAAAATGACAAGACTTTCATTTCCTCAAGATAGAAAGGAGAAAACGGTTCTGTAATAGTCAGACAAACTTGAAATAAAGAGTTTACAGTTCGATTCGACTTGCATGTTTGGAGCAACGTTTAAAGAATATTGGTGATAGTAAGACTTTTTCCTTGGCAAAGCGATTGCAAGAATAAAATGCTGAACGGAGAGCGCGCTTTTATGTTAAACACATAATAGATTGTTTACTATCCAATCAGGGTTAAAAGAGCCCGGGCAAGTCTAGACAAGCCTATTGTTCCTATTGTAGTAGAGCGACGCTCATTAGTAAACCTAATCCAAATTAGTATGTAGGTTATAAGAATGGGTGACGTCATTGACTAGACCTAGCTAGACCGTGCTAGACACTAACGGGGCTTATCTTCATCCCTATATAACTACTGGGGCTACACATATAGTACTTTTTTGTAATGAGCAAAATAGGGACTTGCCGCTGGATGGGGTTACAATTTCATGACTAGATTGACTATACCGGAATAGGGTAAAACATTTTGGGGATTTTGAGGGTAAGAAAATTCTGGTAAGTAGAAACTTAAAAATGGAAAGATTTTTGGACAGAAAAGTGAGTAATTAGTAAGTAATTAGTTGGGATCACAAAATTAGTGTAACATTTGACCAAAAGTGACTAAGATGGGGTCTATATTGGCCACAGACTAGACTAAAATGGAGTAGCGGTTCTGAGAGGCCAGCAGCACATATCCATCAAAATTGACCCAAGTACCCCCCTTCTTGGTGTGTCCAGTGGGTTACATTTTGTTTCACTACAGGAGCACATGTCTGTTTGCAGGTACATTCCGGTCGGACTTCTAGAGCGACTTCCTCAGCGAATCAATGAACGACCTCCACCTTATTTTGGACGCAATGATCTGGAGACTTTGTTATCAAGTGGCAACTGTGCTGATTGGGTCAAAATAAGGTAATTAATGCAGCTCTAAGAAGAAGAGCACAGGCTCATTTCCCAAACAGTGCTTATACAGTCGAACCTCCACATGCTATCACCTTTTGTAAGCGACTACTTGCCATAAGTGACTGCAGATTTAAAACACCCAAATTTTCCCAGTCAAAGCCTTAAAGTTGGAACCCTTGTGGGGTTGGGGGGTACTCCGAATTTCAAGTGACAGGGATAAGGGATAAGGGCTTGATCTATGAAGGGATTTTTGGAGGTATTCGAAATAATCTGAAGATTGTTGGCTGCGTAATTCTGCGAATAAAGTATAACCAAATAAAGTAGAACGTGATAATTATATCATTTAATGCTTTCTGGAAAATTTTAAGGCTCGAAAATTTGGTAAGGGAGTTTTTGGGGTTAAGTTTTGGACCAGGGATTTTTTTTGGGGTTTTGATTTTTGCCCCCATTTGTTTGATCATTCCCTTAACTTTAGATCCGAATTACCCCCGCCCCTTGGAAAATGACCATCTCTCGCAATATAAGGGGTGTAACGATTCATATTCCTTGCAATTCGATTCGATTTCGATTATTGCCTTTCGAATTTGATTATGTGAATGTTTCTTAATTCTTGTAACATATTGCATAATGTACACAACATGCAACCCTAAGCCCTTAATTTGTCAATCAAATTTTCGTCAATCAAAAACGCACTTTTTAAAGAGTTCTGGATTCTGATTTTACAATATAATAACTCACTGAGGGCACCCTGGAAAAGGTATGCGAAAGTCGAACCAAAATCGAAACGTGGAAGCAAAGAATCGTGAATCGAACCGAACGGTAATAATTGCGATTAATCGAGAATTTGATTAATCGTTACACCACTGTCTCGACCACGACCACCTTTTAGGATGACTGTTTTAGAAATTTCTATTGTTTTTAACCTCTTCTAAGCGACCACATACAATGGTCTCATCATTGGGTTCGCTGTATGTGCTACGCCACTTGGAGAATGAGAAGAACGTTTAGAACCAACATGGATTTACATATATTATCTGTTTATGCCACCTAAAAATTGCATGCAATACATTCTCACCCGGACTTCTCGTAAAAAAACCTCCTGCAGTTCAATTCTCGTAAGTGACAATTCCCTGTAAGTGAGCACTAACTCTGCGCATTTTGGGTGGTCGCTTGTGGGAGGTTCAACTTTAATATTATTGTTTTTTATCTTATAGTGAGATGTTATTGGGCCCTGTTCCTACTAGCTTTCACTTTCTTCCCAAGCACAAGGCCAATTCATACACTGAAACAGAGGGATAGGAAGTATTGCTCAAGCCCCTTACACAGAACTATGTGGAGCTCATCATGCATTATAGTCCTTTGCAAACAAAAGGCCTACTCGTACACTGAAACAGAGGGGTAGCCATTGTCACTCTAGTCTTCTCTGCAGAACTTGGAAGGTCTTGCTGTACATTCCTCTCCACAAAAGATTGCGAGACATACCTAAGGAGGCTGCAGATATAAAATCAGATAGCCTGACTTGCGTTAAGTGTAATTTGTTCACTAGAAAAGAATGGCCTATATAGTCACTCACCCTTCTGACCGTCTTCTGCACAATGCTTATCTGCATTTAGCCTGTGTAGGACATCAGTGTTACTGAAAATGTAGTGATAGCCAGTTTAGGAGCCCATAATCCCAAGCAAACAACTATCATGCACTTGTGTCACGGCGGTATCACCGACCAGTTTATTTTTAGAACAATTTTGGTGCTAATTGAAGTTATCTGTCAAGTGTTATAAGCCATTCAGCAAACCTTACAGCCCTGAAAGTGGTATTTTTTACCTTTCAATGAGGAGCTTTTAGTTTTTCTTTTCTCATCTTATGCTTTGAATGAGCTCAGAGATGGAGTGGAGCCCACATTTTCGCGAGAAAAAGTGCTCTCCAGTAAATGTTTCAAAACATTTTACTGGTCCGTGAAAATGCGGTGAGATAGGCCAAGTATGGGAGTGGCTTGCTCCTGGTTATAGGCTACTGACCAGTTTTACTGTAGTTTCCTTCTCAGACATAATTTATTTAGGCTTCTGCCACATATTCAGATTCCTTTCCCGTAAAGAAATGCTTGATAAGCTTTCCCCTGCGGATCAGTTTCATGAAAATTCTAATAAACACTGCCTCAAGTTTTGCTTTCTGCTATGTGTCTTTTTGTCTTGAGACCAGGAAAGAATCAGGCTTTTGTAGGAATGGGTGGAGAAAACAAAAACAGCCAGCGTGCTTGTACCCCCATCCCCCCCTCCTCCTGCTGAATAGGGACTGAACAACCTTCTATGTAAGGTAAATGAAATGGGGGAGAGAGACTTGAAACTCTTTTAGCCTAAGCATCAGGCTTTTATTCCCCTGAAAAAAGGGGAACTTATTAGAGAGGAGGGGGGCTTAATAGAGGATTTACTATATGGAGGTAACTGAAATGGGAGAAGGGTTAGACTCAAAACAGAACTTTTTGGAATGAGGAAACCTACAACAAATCGTTAGAATTTCCAGGTGTATATGTAAGTGCAGGCCGGAAATCAAACAAACTGGTTACACTGTGTACTATTTCTTTCAGACGTTTGTGTTTTTCTTTTAAAGGGACAGGTTCACAGTTAAGCGCATGCTCATTAACTAAATTACTTTTTTCCAATTTATTATTAATCCTATCGGTTAAACCCACTCACATGTATCTCAGCGATCTCAGAGTGTGTTTCAAAGTAGAAGTGTATTTCAGAGTAACCTGAAGTGGGATGGAGGAGGGTGTCAATGGGGTATAGCTGTAGTCAGTAAGCAGCTAAAAATACGCTACTTAATCAGTAAGCAGCTAAAAAGACACCAGTTAGTCAGTAAGCAGCAAAAAAACGTTTAGTCAGTTTTAATATTGGCATGGTTGTGACCCCTGCAGACGTTAAAATCGTTTACAGGGTGGGGTTTCCAAATAAATCACTCACCTAAGACTCCCAAGTTCTCTCCAACTTTCCAGTATTCAATGCACTGGTTTGCAATATTCTTTAACACTCCATCAAATCAGTCTGAAAAGAATTACTTCTTACAAATCCAGCCTAACTGACGCCCTGATTTGCCTTCCATGCCTGGAAGACGGCACCACTCTCCTCCTCATCCTCTTTCTGTGAATAAAATTCTTGAACAAAAGCTCTCAATGACATCTGAGTTTCTGTACACAGCCATCGACCCGCTTCTCATTTCTAAAACAAAATTCTCATATTCTCCAATCTAGTTGGCTATCGGCAGCCCTGATTTCAGCATTAATAGGACGATGTAATAGGAAAGTACGTGTCATGCGTAAGCATAATTGCACGCGCACTCTTGAATGCGTTAAAAGTAAGGCTAGGGAATCACTAATAAAACTTCTGGTGCAATTAATATATAGATTTAGCCAGGGCTAAAAGCGAAGCTCTCGATAATATTTATAGTTTTTTTCAAACAAAATATAAAATCATGTAATGCTAAGCGGCGAAGGCAACGCCGGAGAACGGTGAAAAACAACAATAGGTCTAATTAGCAAAAAAGCAACTTTGCACGTGCAGCACACCTTTTTTGTACATTTCTTTGCCGTTGTTCTTCACGACTACAACGTGAAACTTCCAGAAACTTCTAAGTTACACGTTTTTTTCGATCACTTTTTTTTCACTGCCGCTCATTTTCACCTTACATTGGTGGCCTTTAGCATTTCTCATCTTGTCACCGCCGTTACCAAATTTTCATGTCGTTCTTCCAACAAAAAAATGTCTCCTTTGTTTTTTATCTCTCGCTCTAAAAAAAGTCGCCCTTTTCTCGTTGAGCTTCGCTGGCCTACCGCCTACTTTCTCTTTTTCTCTGTGTTTCTCTCGCTCTATATTTCAAATTTGTGGACATGACAATTAATCTAAGCTTAATACTTTCGAAAACACGGATACAGAGACAATTTCCGCTTTCCATTTTCCTTTTCACTGACTCTTTAGTTGTTTCTGCTTTTCAAGACGCGGGTAGCTATGCTATTTCCAGTCAAAATAACCTCGAGTTGCATTTGGGTTGCCATACCTGTTGATTGAGTTATTTTACATTGGTATGCCTGTGGTGCGGAAGGGACGGTCGGGCGGTCGGTCTGTGTACGGTCACGTGATTACCAAATTTTCTCGGATGGGTAGTTTACCACATTTTCTTACCCATGGTGCTCCGCTGCGCGCGCTTCGTGCGCGAGAGCTCCGCTAATAATCTGTAATATACTTGTCAGGGGATTGAACAATTTGGATTCTCGCTTAACGCGGTTGCAATTTTGTTTTATCGCTCATAAGATTACAAGCGGAATTAGACCGGATTATAGACAGTACAACACCTATTTGCAAGCAAGCAAAGAGGTAGGACTCTGAGACAATAAACCATTTTACACAAGAAAGCAGAAAGGGCTGTGTCAAAACAAGTTCATCTCTTTCATTCAGTATCTCACCAAATCGTCTTTTTATGTCAGAAAGTTTTCATTTGTTTGAACCAATTACTAACTTTTTTGGTCCACTTCGCTCTGTATACGCTTTAAAAATTATCTGTTTTTATACACTTGTGAGTTAATATTTTGTAATTTGTACGTTTACGATAGTGAAAAAAGGACTTTATACCTTAAGCAGTTAACCCCATTGGCACCCTCATGGAGGAGTACCTAAGTCGCAGAAAAAATTAGTGGATTATGCCAATACTAGCAACGTTGAATTTATTGACCCGAATGTTTTATTCCGGTATGGTTGATTAATTTACAGCTATTTGCACATAAGTTGATCAAGTGACTGCCAGAAGAGTGTGTAGATTGGTTCTTTGACAACATTATGACATGATCATATTGCTTGAATAGACGATACAGGATGTCCTGGCAGAAAAACAGCATTTTGATAAATGAGCATGTACCGTGAACCTGTCAAACGTTTTTTTTTCTCGAACTACCACCTCATAGTTTAAAGCGGCTCTCTACTAGACCTACTACGGTTGCTGTTCAGTCACAGTAGTGTGCAGTGGCTCGGGACATTTTGGGCAGTCTTCAGGGTCGTAACATGGTCTATGGGCTCAGGGCTCAAAGCCCAAAATAGGACTGGGATCAGGGCTCAGAGGAAAGGGCTCAGGGCTCATAAGAATGGGATCAGGGATCACAAGGCTTTTGATCCCAAATCAGGGATCAGATTTATTACACGGTCTAAAACTCTCTTATCACAATATTTTTCCGCATAATAAGGTTTGTGTCCATAGAACTTCCTGGCCAAGGTACATTACCCATTCTTGCTTCCGGCTGACGGCAGTTCCTGTCATACGAAGTCCTGGTTGTTTGACGAAAACATGGTATCATATTCTTAATTATTGTTGAGGGCACCGTAATATGAATCTCAAGGCACTTTTCTCGCTTTGTAACGCAACTCCTCAACGCTCTGTCAATGCCAGAAGGCAGAGAAAGCGATATTACATATCTTTTTTGGCGAGAAATGGGGAAGAAGAAAAAGGACAAAAAGAAATCCTGTGACAGAGAAAGGTACGTAAGTACTTCCTTGACTGATTTACTCCTAGTAAGGGTCCAAGCATAGAGTTTTTCGGCCGATCAAACATAACAATACCGCCAGGACAATAGACAAACCGATTCATTGAAAGCGGAATTTACTGTATAGGTCCCGATTGTCTCATCACCTCAAGCAAGTCACAAGGCGACTATAAATCGAGGTTCGTATTTTTTGACCAGTAACTTAACTCTTAAAAGTGCTTAAATAATCAGTCAGAATAGACGTCAAAAGTAGAATACAAAAGTGCAATAAAAATTATATGAATTGGCGCGCTTTGTTGCAAAATAAATGCTTTCTCGCAATTTAATAAATCTGCTCTAATTGCATGGAGTTTTAGGGTTATCTCGAACTCTGATGAGAAACCGAGATCGGTTCACCTACCAGTACTAGTGTTGGACCGGGAAAGTAAAGGACACATTCCATTTCTGTATAACTGATAAATGCTTGTATGATAAATACTCTGAAATTACAGTGTAGAATTAGTGAAAATAAGTGGAACACCAACGACTTACCTCGGTGAAATAAAAGTAACAAAACCTTTATATTTTATTTTCTTTAGTTTTTTTTTATATAAAATAAACCGTTGAATTGGTGAAAGGAATGTTGCATACTAGGTACAAGTTAGTAGCAGAGTCTGCAGGAAGTTAATATGTTAAAGCACTCAGCACGAAGGGCCACCAGTAAGAGGCCCACTATTTGATTTTTGAGCTGGGGATGGGTTATTTTTTTCGTGCAAGATTTTTTCAGACCTCATTCGTGCAGTGGCTATTTTGTTTTGCACAAAATTTACAGATCTTAGTGACAATATTGATCTGCAAGAATTTTTTCAGACCTTTGGGCTATTCGGCCTCGGCTTATGTAACGGTTGGCCCCGAAAGATATCATCACCTTAGATTTGGAGCCTGAATTTTCTAGTGGAGAGAAAACACCCGCTCTGAACGACTACGCATCACGGCGGCCCAGCTGCCTTTTAGAATCAATAGAGAGGCTCTACCAATCCTCATTTATCTTTTATACTGGTCCTCGAAGCCATTACACACAAAGGCACCGGAATGGCTGCGAAAGTCGCACGGCAAGAGTAAACTAGCCTGCGTAGCAGGCGTCGAAAGGGGTAGGGGGTAGGGGATAGGGAGGAAGGGAAAAAGGGGAGGGGGACCTGCCACTCAGGCTAACAGGATATGGACGAGGAAACGAGCGCGGAGGGAAAGGAGCGATAAAGGAAGGCATTCCAGAGCTTTGCGAAAGAATTCGGACGGGGTGTACGACAGCAACAAACGAGAGGGAAGACCAAAGGAAGAGCTGGTACACTTCCACTTGCTCTGAGTATGTTCAGAAGGAATGCGTCGGCACATGGAGAAGTCGATCTGCTGAAAGAGGTTCGAGGGGGTAAAGGACAAACTACACTTCAATACGCAGCCGAGGAATATGAGATTATCTATTCAAAAGGCGACATAGTTGCTCTCAAGCACAATTACAAGAGGTATATCATTCCTTTTTTAACTGCAGTTGTTTTGAAAGATCCCCACCATAACGGTGACGCATTCCTGGAAGATCACGTGGGTTTGAGATGGCTGGAACAGTCAGAAGAAGATCCCCTTGTATACCAGACTGGGCACCGTGACGATAGAAATTCACCTAAGTGTATCATCAGGAAAGTTCAAATAATAAAAGATGGAAACAACTTCTGTTTGAGCTGCCTTGAAGAGCAACGCTTAGTCCCATTGCTCCAGGGGTCAGTTGAATCAGATGATTCACCTGCGTCAGGTGGTGACGGAGAGGAAGGGGAGCAAGCTTAGGTGGACAACTTTTCAGAGCCAATTAGATTTGAAGCTGGAAGGAGTAGGTCTGGAAGACCTACAACCAGATATGTCCACTGTCAATCTACAATGGTTATTAAGCCAGGAAAAGCCATTAATTTTTTTGACATAGAAAAACTGTTAAACTGTAGAACCTGTGGCTTGCATCTTTTAATTTTTCTGCTTCATGTAAAGCAGGTATTTTGATATCGGTAATTGATCGTGATCCTCACTGTGACACACACAGAGTGAAAGAGAAAATTCACATAAGGCTACACTCTAACAACATCAACAGGGATAGCAGAATAGAAAGTCCAGAAGCTTGGTTGCTCTTAATCAAGAATCACAGCAACAGGAGATCCCTACGACAGTGGACCAGTGAGGCAAAAGTTCATATAAACAATGGAGTAAGAAATACACCAATCTCAGCGGCTAATAATCGACCAACCAGAACCAGATCTTGGAGTCACATAAGTTCACGTGTGACCAGTCGACGAAGACTAGCAAGGCAAGGTCTTTAAGTGTTGCTTTTTCTCATGAACACTTGATATACGCAGTTGAAACGTCGCGATCTGCTACATCATTCAGTGACTGAATCGTGAGACAAACAATTACACTTTATTAACATCAATATTGTAGACCAGTAACACGGCCGACGTGAAATTTTTGGTTGCAAGAGTCTCTTTGGAAATAAAACATCTGTGACCCACACAGCTCGGACAATGATTAACTGGACAAGTTATCCGGGCAAGCAGATGTTCGTAGGGGACAGAAAATTGGAAAGCAAGAGGAAGACCTTAGTTCAGAAGTACGTTACAGTGACGTTAACTCAACCGGGGACCAACCAGCGCTAGCTGTGTTTACTGTTTGACTAAATTGTATTTATTCGAATTTTGAATCCAATGCTTTCTTGTGATTCGCTTATAAACCTCCGGGTAGCCTTGCTCCTATGAGCAACACTGAAAATAAACCTTGTAAATACTCTTGATGAACGTTACATCTGAAAAAATCAAGATTCCGCCGCAAGATCTTTCAAGATGCACGATACTTAAAGGGAAGTGGACTACTTTTAATGTATAAATTAACAATAACTTACATTCTGTATCTTACTAAAGCTCCCGTTCAAGAAAATGAGGTTTTAACATTTGTCTAGTATCGCCAAACATTATATTTAAAGTGTTTTGAATAGAATAATGTACAAAAAGAGGTTGACTCATATTGTCTTTAATGCTCTGATAGAACCTACAACTTAAACTAAAAATTAAAGTTAATGTTTTTCTCATCAGCCCATTTGAGCATGTTCTATATTCTATATTTGGAGATAAACAAAGTTGTCTAAGTTAAAATTTTGTTTAAAAACATGGATGGGATCATGTTCTTTATCAGGGCTCAGGGATCAAAATGTTGGGGAAAATGGGGCTCAGGAATCAAAATAACAGCAAGAAAATAGGGATCAATGGGTCCCGGATATACCATGTTACGACCCTGCAGTCTTACACCAAGTAGTACCCCTGCTCGACGCCTCGCAGAAGGCTGCTCCACAGCCGTTCTTTGTGTTGTCACACAATGCTCCTCCCCACAAAGATTGGCAGTGAAGCAGGCAAGACGCCTCGCCATGTGTTCGCATTTATGTGCTGTACGCGTGGAGTTTACCCGGAAAAAACATGTCCGGGCTAGGGCTAGAAGGTCACTCTCCCACCTAATTTCCTACCCTTTTGGCCACATATGACGTATGACGTAGCCTAGGCAACCGGCCTCAATTCCCCGCGCGGGAATTTGTTATTGATATGTGATGATAGTTATTTGGTTCACTGCTAATGTGCCATCCTTTCTTACGGTTCTTTCGTCAAAATGAGAATCAATATTTCGACCGGTAGATTGCGATAGGTATTACTCTCTTTCGGTGCAAAATGGAGTCAGAAAACGGAGTCAGGTAAATGTTCATCTTAGTGGTAATTTTGGTTTGTTAAGGTTCACTGCGTTGAGCTTAACTTGTACGTTTTACTATTTTTAGTACCGACAATTTCACCGCTTCCGCGGTAAAAGCGAACGAACAAGCGATAGAGTATATTTCAAGCATAGGTGAGTCGCTAAATTTGAACGTCTGTTTATTTAAAAGATTATCTAACTGGTGCATACGATGCTGGAATTGGAAAGATGTTTGAACTAACCAAACAAGCTTACTGCTTTTGATGTTTTGAAGAGCTCACTGCGGATTGTAAATTTGAGTTCTTCGGGTTATTTAAATGTCTTTACTCTCTTAAGAATCCAGTTATCAGCGATCATCTCGAGAAATATAACAAATCCAGTTGTAAGCTCAAGTGAGCTTACATCGTTAAGTTTAGCTTCTGTCGCGCTCAGCCGAGGCCGTTTGATCTTTATGGCGGAAATTTCTTAATGTTGTGCAACCTAGGTTTTTGGTCGATCTTTAAAATTACAAAACGTACTAATGCTGGAATTCCAATGCGTCCAGGCTTTTCGGTTTAGAATGCTTTAGCCAAGAGCCAAAAAGAAATTTGCATGCTATTTAAAATTGCTTGAGTTACATGCATCGCCGGAAGGGCTTCACTCATTACTCAATAGGCTTATTTAATTTCGCTGGCATAAAAATGTTTAAGTCTGTCGTCCTCTGCCACTATATCGGCAAATGTTGGCATTTAGTTCTTCAGAAAAGTTATTTCAGTTAAACTATTGCAGCAAACTTTGAAACGTTTTATGAAAAAAACGCCTGAGAAATGGCAATTCCGTAAGCTTATGGTTTAGAAAATGAAAAAGAAAATTCTAAAAGGGGCAGGTTATGAAAGATTCGAAATGATGCTTGTAATTCTTGGCTCACGCCGTATGTTTTTAATTTACCCAAATTATCCATGAATTTGTATCATATTTCATATTGCCTCAAAATTAACCAAAATGGAAACAACAGATTGTTTTTTAAAGGTTGTGGAATGTTCGTTGCACTTGAGTAACTGGAGAATATTTTAATATCCAGGTTACACTGTTCTTTATAAATGTGTCTAGTAGGATTTCTTTTATAAAAGAATTATTTAATTTACACAAATTCTTGGGAAGAAATAAAAATTACTTGTCACAAAACACAATACCGATTGTCACAAATTTGAAAAGTCCTTGGAAACCACAGACAAAAGAGTTATTTCACTAAAAGAAGTAACAATGCCCTTCGTTAAAAATCCTGCTTAATAAGTGACACTTTTAAGAGGATATGTAATGACATTCCTTATTAAAAGTTTTCATCAACTAATTTACGCAACACATGTTCCATATTTTTTTTTTTTTGAATAAAAATGCTTTGACAGCCTTGATCTGGTTTTTAGTATAGATTTCAAAGTAACTTACCCTTGTACAGGTCTGCAGATAATACATGACTGCTGGTCAATAAGCAATGTTACATTTTGTTTAATTTGTAAGCCCCACAGAAGGGGAAGGGAATATTAGAAAATGAAAGTGAGTATAATATCTGCAGGCATCACCTGTCAAATCATCAAATAAAGAATTCATTATTAATTTTGACTTCCTAATTTTCTAACTTGTAAGCAACCTTTTCTATTTACATGGTATTTTCTTGTAATATATTCCTTTTTTACTGATATAATCACAAACATTACAATTTGAGCTGCTTCGTGCTTTTTGATCAGTTTACCACATTTTCTATACACTCACAGTTCTTGCATATTCACTGCCCATGCACAATAAAAAGGAAAACTTTCATAGACAAATAATGTAACAAATAAATGTCAGATTTAAAATTGCACCTGTTTCCTATACAGTTGTGAGATTTGACAGTTTTAACAAAATTTCAAAAACAACATGGGCACTTAGAGTGCCACGTGTTTCTGTGGCCTTTAGACTGTACTGTAAAGTGCCTCACATCACATTATATTCATTCAGTGGCACTGGCTGTAGGGGATCAACCCCAGGCAATGAAATTATGACCATCTTGTACTCTCAAATTACTGGTAAACAGGGCTTAATCGCATATGCGACTGGATTTTTTGTTGTGTGCCTAAAAATTCATGTGTAATCGCATCTGTGCGCCATAAAACCCAAAGCACAGTGCGGCCGCCTTGCTTCCGACCATGCTTACTCGAACTAGAAAGACGTTAAACAGTAGCTTCAAGCAATGAAAGTAAAAGTAACCTAAGAATAGTACAACCAGGCTCTAAATAATAAAGTTATGTTGTTTTCGTTTTATCTGTGTATGTTGAATTCATCCTTTCCCCCAGTGGATTCCACAAACTCCAATGACAGTTCATTTTCATTTCCATGTTCTACTCCATCCCAGATCTTCTGTAATAAACGCCGCTAACACATCCAAATATGCTACAAACGAAATGTGCTTTTTGCGCAATGGACGATGATGTCGAACATTAAAGGAACACAGTCAGCTGAAGCACATGCGCATTAGATACCATTTCTTAGTTGATTTGGATGTCACAAGACACGCGTGAAACAGAAAGTAAGAAGCGTATCTGGAAACAAACCTTGTAGAGTTAAACTAGTTACAAGACCAAATTGTGATTATAGGCCCTAAACCACATCAGAGCACACATTTTTTATTATAACATTGAGAATTCACCGATGGATTTGTCCAGGAAAAGCCAAACATCGACGAATACTTCTGAATTCGATCATCAGTAGAGGTGAGATATGACACGGAGTCGGCATGAACTCATTGTCGAAGGTTCAAGGTCGAGAAAGCGTGATTTTCCAAACATATGTAACCTTTTCCATTGCTTTTTCAAATAGATATGACGATTATTTGCTTGCCGTGTTATTGATTCATTTCTTTAGTTATTTTGGTAAACAAAAGCGATTTCTCCCGTCCGGTGCCTACGCGTTTCTCACTTCTTCTGTTCATGTTTCTTTGGATGCTGTTTTAAGCCAAATATGATTAAATAATGTCGTACGATGAGTTAAAGTTTGCTCAAAAAGAGGTTTTCTGTAAAAGATCAAGGATCGAATGAAACATTGGCAAGATTGAAGAGGATTTCTACAATGTAGATGTAGCCAACGCGTTCATTTGATTTCGGGTTGAGGTAAACCCTTTTCAAACTGACAAAAGTAGTGTCGTGGTCAGCGTGGTCTCATAGCTGACAGTGTCCCTTTAAGTTTTAAGGTCAATCAAAACAAAAACAGTGCAGATTAAGAGCCTTTTTTTCCAGGTAAGAAAGTTTAAGTGATATCCCAGTTACATGTAAGTCATTGAGCATTTTACAAATTCATTAAAGATTAATTTTCATTCTCGTTCGACATACTCATTGTTGTCAGTTTTGAATTTTTGTTTTAAGTGTAGGGTTTCTTTAGTCACAACTGTACTGTAAAAAAGAGAAATACTATTAGTATTAAAAACCACAACACTATTACTGCACAGCAAATTGGCTGTGTTTGTCAATCACGCAACTGAAATAATAGATGTGGCACTGTTAAGCTTTTTACTTTTTCTTTTGAAATAGAATTGCTCCCAGCATTATAAGCTCTGCTCCTAAAATTTTCAGTTGTGTGCCAAAAATTTTGGCAGTGCACTTAAAAATTTACATGTGGTAGCACAAGTGCTCCCAAACTCAAATTTTAACTTTGAGCCCTGGTAAATACCACTTGGTGATATTTTTCAGTTTCCAGAAATAGAACTTATAATAGAGGTTTCATGTATAGAGGTGGTCTGTAACATTAATGAGGCCCTCTTAGTAAGGGGGAGTGGAGTGTGGTACAAAAAAATCATGTCCTTAGTCTGAATTTAAACCTGCCTTATTGTATATTGAGGAGGATAGCCATGTCCCAGTCAGTTTGTTAAGTACTGTTACAAAATTGTATTTGTGCTTTTCTTTGTGGCTGTCACATCAACTCGTCTTTATAGTGTATTTTGTCACCATTATTTTCATCTGTTATGTTGCTGCTTCAAGGCGACTTTTCTTAAGGAATAAGGAAACAGCTAACTAACAAGTACTAGGTTTCCTAAAGCTTCTCATTACAAATTTTTCTGTTATATTTTCTAAGAAACAGATGATGAAATATGGGAATCACTATTATTTGCGGACTCATTGGTTACCACCTCTCAAACTGGCAGGGTAAGTGTGTGTACGCAGTCAAACCTTTATTAATTTTGTGACCACCTCTCACAAGTGACAACCTCCCATAAGAGGCTACCTTAGTGTCCAAAACACTAAATTTTTTTCCAGTCAAATCCTCTGAACCTCTTATAAACAACCACCTCTCATGCCGTTCAGGGTACAGCTGTTTTGAGAAAGGTTGTTGGAAAAAAATGTGCACGCAACAATCCCGAAAGTTAATATGGGATACGGTATGATCAATACACTGTTTCTTGACACTGTAGCTGTCGAACCTACTTTTGTTAGGTTGCTTTATTACTCACAAACATACATATGTACCATCCATGGTCTCTCGTGCCATTCTTTCTAATTTCTTTGAATAACAGTGAACTCAAAACCACCCACAAAACCTTTTGGGATTGTCACATCCACTTTTTCGGACAACCTTTCTCAAAATAGCTGTATATCAAGAATTTCCAGTGACAATGTGGAACTGTACTTACATGTAACTTATAAATTGCATTCAATGAATAATTTATTGATTATTATTACTGTATCTTCAAAAACTTAGATGTGTCAGGACCTCTTCTTTTTAGCGACAAACTCCTTTAATCCTTTAAGTCCCAATAGTGACCAACATCAATAATTATCTCCTAACATTATCCATACACTCTCAAGAGATACATGTAAGTTATGAGAATTAATAAAATGATCACCCAAGAGAGAATGCCTTGATCTTTTATCAAATTCTCTCAACTAATTCTTTAAGGGAATGTATAGAGATTGGTCAGGAGAATGTGTATGTGGATACTGGGGCTTAAAGGGTTAAAGTACCATTAAATCTTTGCATTTTGGGTGGTTGCTTACATAATGTACAACTGTAGTTTTTTGATTAGTCTCTCCTTCAGTTACATACAGATTGAATACCACAGGTTAAGATAATTTTGTCATTGCTTGCCACGCACATAATTAATGAGAATTGTTCTGTACTGAGTGTTGACAAAAAGTGACGTAATACACTGTACTTTTTTATACTCTTCATTAAAGGAAATAGGTGAAATGACAGTAACAGTGGAAAATGCCACTTGGAGAGGAAAGCCATGCTATCTTGTTCATGCTAATAGCCATGGAAGTGTTGATCAAGTACCTATAGGCACATCTGTCACAGGTACGGTGGAGGTACAGGCCTGGAGGGTACTTTTGGAATTTTTGGGTGGGGATGATTGTGTCACTGAGACTCTGGACCCCTTAGCCTGTACTAGACCTAGTTCAGATGAATTTTGTTACCATATTTGAAAGTTTTTATCCAAAATATCAAGGGTTCCAATTGTTTCTCTTTGACTTCTCACTTCAATTTCCGTTTGTCAGTTATGATGCAAGTCAATTTTTTTGTGATAGTATAAAGCCAGAGATGGACAAAGGTTCCAAGAATTTGGTACTTATTTGCATAATTGCATCAATAATATCTTGTCCTTGTTTTTTCAGCTTATGTTGGAAGAACACTTCAGACATTCGAACAAACTCACTATGAATATGTCAAGGTACATTATTTGAGAAATTGCAGCTTTTGTGAATGAAAGTTTATTTCATCAGTGATATGCTAATATGGTAGCTTCCTTTAATCGCTCAAAGTTACAGTATAGGTTTTCAGGGTTGATTGACTAATTGTCAAGGAAATTGACATTTCTTTTATCCTATCATAGTGGATCATCATACGTAACATGTGTAAAAATAGTTGGTATCCTGAAATTTTTATTCTATTAAATTTTTACTATTATGCTTGTTTTTTGTAAGAGCTTGTGGATGTTAACATAGTAAAAAATAACAAATTTGAAAATTAGCCAAGGCCAAAAGCGAAGCTCTTGTGGTAACTTACTTTCTTCCTAGCCTGCGATGACTTTAATACCATAAACTAGTAAGTGGAGAACTCTATAAAGAACACATCACTTTGATGAGTTGTACACCTGAGCCTGTGATATGGTCATGTGACACTGGTCTGCAGATGCCCTATTTTGACAGCTGTCAAGTGGTCATGACATGGCTGTCCGGTACCAGTTTAATCAGTTTGTATGCATTGGATTCAAAGTAGTAGACTTTTTACATCTGCTAACATGAAGGGGCAGATGTTCGTACCTACAGAAGATTCTGTCAGAACACAAATTTCTTGTATGCATAAATAGCCAAATTTTCTTAACCGTGGTGCTCTGCTAAAATATAATAACTTTATTTTTTTACATTGTGACATCAGCAAGCTCTTAGAAAAAACAATTCAAAAGAATCTACAGCAAGGTGCCAAAATCAAAAGGCCACCCTCATTTAAATAATTGTATGCTACATACATATATGTAAAGTAAGGGAGACCAGCTATCAGTTGCACTGCAGATTTGCACCAAACCTGACAAGATTGTAGCCCCAGTTTGCTCCCCACTTTGTGTCATTTCTGTTTGGTAAAAGCTATAAGAAAAATGCAATTGAGTTAGTTTCTACACATACTGAACTTTTCTCTTTGTTCTGTTTAGATACCAGATAACCCACTAGATAAGAAAACTCTGATAGAACTTGACGAGGATGGTACATATTCTGTGAAAAAGACTATTTCACAGGGAGAGGTCTGTAGCACGTATAAAATTGGATATTTTACCTCAGAAAATAACTGAAGTTGACAGGCAGCATAGTACTTTCCCTAATTTTGTACTGAAAATATTTTTTGAAAGAGGGGAAGTTGGTACTTGCTGTATGTGTCACCTGTATCAGGTTCAAATGAAGTGGGAAGTGTTGTGTTGATGAGTGAGTGAAATTCATTATTTATTTTATTTTATTGGCCGAGTTGATAGGATAGATGGGCAACGGCCTCATGGGAAGATTGAGTTGCTGACGTTATAAGTGCTAGCACCTCACCACAGCAAATCATAGCTTATAATTATGACTCAGTGCAAGCGGTGTGTCAGTGGGAGGTGCATGAGGAATGTAAGGCACAAATGAGACCAGTGGCACTGGCTAAGAGAGTTAACATGTATGTTCAGCATGGATGACTGGAAGAACATTACCTTGTAATATTATTAAAAAATAACTTAATTACAGTATAAATATGTATTTTATGAACACAATAGCTGCCTGGATATAAGCATCATCTAGAGGGTGTATAAAATGTACTTTCAGGAAATGCAAAGAACCGATACATATTACAAAAAGGACCAGTTTCAGGGCTTCATATCTGAAGGTCAGTCGGTGCAAGATTTATATCTAAAGTTTAACATTTTATTTCTCCAAAAGCGATACCTGTTAAAAATAGAAGTGAAGAGCTGAGACATTTTGTGGGGCATGTAATAAAACACTGTGTGGACTAAACATGTAAGCCTGGTTCTCATATGCTACCAATGTAACTGTGACATAACTGTGCCGCCATTACTAATTGGGAAACTGCCTCCTCGGAAACTGTGATGGCTTATGGGAACATACACCACTGGCAATGAGAATCGTTACTGGTCTTTACTGCTGGTACAGGTGCCTGCAAAGTTGAACTCACTTTAGCTTAGCAGGCACACCAGTGGTAAAGACTTGGATTGCCTCTGCTACCAACAACTTTTGTCCTCACATTTTGGGAACTGTATCCCATGATATCTTATGGTATCTTATCATGCAATAAAACATGCATAGTTTTACACATTCTTTGACCACCAAAAACACCAGGCACTTTGGCTTTATTATCCACTAACTTATTCATTTGTAAACCATTTGATGTTTCATGGTTTGCAGCTGAAGCGCAGAAAAGCTCACAACCTGTATGGTTACATATTTGAAGCAAAAGACAACTCAGCACTAAGCAAAACTCTTACTTTTAACAGACCAGGATCAATTCCAAGTGTCCTACCTCAAATAAGGCCCTTGAAAATGTGAAATCAAGAAATATACAACAAAAAATATTTATTACTCGTTAGGTGATGAGCTCATTATGTTTTTCGTTTCCTTTTTCAGGGGCAAATCTTTTGCTGCAAAGAATCATGGCCAAGAAAGGTGTTCCATCCGATCTAACATTTGTTGCTTTTGACTCAACAACCAGTCTTTGTACATCATCGTATGTAAGTCTGCAAAAAAAAACAACAAAATTGGTGAAGTGTTATGTTTATGCGTGTAGTAGCACCCCTTAACATAGCTAAATCACAAGGATTTAGTATCATCCTTAACTAATCTACAATCTTGGACATAATGTATTGGAAAATTACACTCCTCCCCCTCTAAACCCAAATCAAGAAGTGGAAAATGGCACGTTTTGGCTTTTGCACGACTTCATCCTCGATTTAGGGGAGTGATGGGGGGATTCTGAGATTGTAATCTCCTTCGCTGTGGGAGGTACGAGTTCTTAAAGGTGGTAAGCGGGAGAAATAGGAGGAGATTATGCAATAAATAAAATGCGTAACATTTTGAAATCGATAAAGAGCCAAGAAAAAAAGGGGACGGGAGCCCTGTCTCCCTCCACACTCAAGGACAGCAGCACTTGAAAGTCGCTAATTTTCTCTCCTCCCTCCGCCTGTCACCTTCCTCGCAGAGGCAATTTTCGCACATGCTCGGAAACAATTTTGTTAAAGTACGTGATTGTACACGGGCTTGAGCGGCTCTTTACCCCGGCTGCAACAAGGCAATGGGAAATCGTAAAGACACTTTTAAGAACATTTCTTTGCCTTTTCTTGCACGATGAAGACGTGAAATTACCCAGTGCGAGTTTTTATGGAGGATATAAACACATAACGGGAATTTTGTTTCTTTCTCTTTCTGAACTTCGATTAGGTCCCGAATAATTCAGTTATTGTTAGTTACACTTATATTTAACAAATTGCACCAGCTGAAACAATCGCTGCCGTCAGTTTCATAGTTCCTTAAGCTCAGAAGTGAATTGGACGGAGAGATCCTCTCAGTTAGTCTCTGCACCTTTCCTTTAACTTATAACAAGTAATCCGCCCAGCCTTACAAGCGATGCACTGTTGGTTACCTTACATTGAAATGCTAATTCTCCAACAGAAAATGCTTGGTAAATCTAGTCGGAAGGTTGGCGGACAGCACGTAACTGTAACAGGACTTCAAAGAACAATTCACTCAATACAGGAGTCTCCTACAACCTGGGAGTCTTATTTCTTATCCACTGGGTAAGTTCCAATTAACTTTAATATGCTTCTTTAGCCAAAAACCAAGTCTTAGTCAACACTCCTTGTCAGCCTAGAAACCAGTGTAGTTCCTAACTGACCCTAACTTGCTACCGGTTTAAGAACCTAAAATGGGGTGATATATATACATTTCGTGGAGGCAGCGTGGCCGAGCTGTTAGAGCGCTGGACTTCCAATCCGGAGGGCTCGCGCGAGTTCAAGTGCTGCCCTGACCGCTAGCTGAATTTGTTCACGGTAATCCCGAGTTCAGATCCTCGGCCACGCTTGTAAATAGCCAGCTGGTTTGCCAACTGGTTTGCCTCCTATCAGTTGGGATTTTTAACCTTTCTCTGATTTTATTTGTTTCATTATCACTGAAAAACCCCAAAAGGAGAGAGTATAATTAAGAGCGAATGCACAGAAAAATCGAGCAAACCGTGGCCACAGCTCAAAACCTAACCTACCTTCATTTTAAGTCTGTAATATGGTTTTAATGAATTTATAACACTGCTGAGGTTTAAATTTCAAAATGCGGCCGAATTTGGGAATTATTTGAGATTTTCGATTTCAACGGTCTGCGGGCCTAAAATTAGCCGCCGAACACGGCAATATAGTCTAGCGACAGAAATGAGCTGACTTTCATAAACGAGCGAATATATTGGCAATCTTCTACTTAAATCTCAAAAAGCAGATATCTAACAATTTCTAAACAGCACATTTTTTTAGATTTAGAGAATAAAATATCGACGAACGAGCACAATTTTGAAACGTAATTTGCATAATGCTTATAAATACAACAATTTACCGCTAAAACCAAAATCGAATTTTCTATATGGGGGAATTCTCCAAATCACCCCAAATCCCGCTTACTACCTAATGAGATATAGTACTTCAACATTATCTGAAAGTTAGTCTGGTGTTCTTGCGAACGCTTGTAAAATAGATTGATTATTTTGAGGTTATTTTACGCCAAACAACCGCTAATTGACCCCAGGGTCAGTTGACACGTGCACGTCACCTTAGTTTTACGCATCGATTTCAGCTCGTTAAAAGGGAGAAACCAACAAGATTCATATGTACCTGTTTTAATGAAATACACGCAATCTTGAAAAGGAGAGGCCGTTCAATGGGTAATTTCTGTTCTTGAGATCTTGTAGATTGTACCATGGCGTCTGCGAGTGGACCTGAGTCTAGGTCTGTTTTCCCTTGACTGCGAAATCAGAATAACATCATGAAATAATTCCGCTCGAACCTTCGTAAATGAATCAGCTTTGCAGTGCCTTACCTGAGATAAAAAGTGGGCCGAATAGGAAAACATTCTAACGCAATTTGGATCCTTTGCAGCACGTAGTGTATTTGCTAAGCCGCGACGGTATCAATGACTTTTAATCCGATTGCGTGACCAAGCAATTATCGATTGTCTCCTGCGAAAAATAAGTGCACGGGAAACCAAAGCTTTCGGGATACAGTAAATTCATTTTCCTGTATGACCAGGTGTCCTTTTGTCCTATTTTAAAAGCGGTTAACTAAGATGATTACCAAACATACTGTCCCACTTTTAAAAATGGTACAGTAACTGAATGTCAGCTGTTCTTCTGATTTTACCCCCAACCCCGGACTGTTCAGAAGATATATTTGCACTACGCATGAAAGGCAAATGGATTAAATTTTAAGGTTCAAGGCGGTTTTAAGGCATGGGTTACCAGTGGATTAGTCAGACTTGTCATAAGGTGCATTGAACAGAAAATTACAGGCATGATATCTCTGCTATTGTATGCCCGGCCCATTAAGTGATTTTCCAGCAAACATCATTTGTTGACTTTTTTTTTACCCAAAAGTTTTTTTTTCCGTTCAATTCTTATCTATAACATCTAAACTTAGTTAAATTTCTGTAATTTGTTGTTAAATGCAATTCTGCAAACAACTAGGTATTTAATTTTGCGTAAAAGCTACATGAAATTGTACTGTTTAGCCGTAAATCATTAAAAAGAGAAAGCATCACGCTTTCTCTTTTCAAGTCTAGTGGGACTTAAGTAATGGCATTGCTTAAGTCCTAGTAGTTTTACTCCATGTCTGCTAAGGAGGAAATAGTTTGCTCTTTTCAAGAAATTGTTCTTGCCCATTGCGGTTTCAAACCAAGGATAGCAGCAAGTCTGTCGTGGTCATATACTGCTACTTCAGTGCAAACGAAGCATAGGCGCACAAGTCAGCGCTTGCGTTTAGTCAGGTGCCGAAAATGAAGTGGAAACTTAACCCCAAGGGCGTCCATGTTCGCTCCGGCTCGAAAAGGTAGAATCAGTTGTGCAGTAAAAACTAATGCGAAAAACCTGCGGGGGCTGGGGAAAGAAAGGCTTCTAATTTTTCTTTGGCTTGTTCTATTTTCGCGACGTGGTACAGGCTACGAAATACTGACAAGCTCAGTATATGTCTTCACCACCGAGAGTCACTTGCCCTTAGCCGGACACGCCCCTCACGTATCATGTTTCGTTCCTAAAGTTATTTCAAAGCACAGAACCAAACCTAATCAGCGGCCGAAGGCAGAAAGGGGGATGAACAAACGGATGTCACAGCATATTTGTAAGAAACTGGTATCCTTGTGCCTATCGGCTCAGGAACGATTGATCACTACTAGAATTAATATCAGGGTTAGAATTTGAGCGCTACAATGGGAGGGAAGGAAGAAAAGGAAACCACCGCGCACACCTGTTAAGTCTTTTATAAACTTTCTCGTCCTGACGGTTTCAAAGAAGGGCGTTGTGGCTGCTATTTAATTTACAGTGTCTGTTGCTGGTGTCGAATTAATCTTACAGCAACTGGAAACGTGGCCACGCCTGCTGAAACTGAGATTGCTTGTAGGATGAACGGCTATAGTTTGGTATATTCACGAGCGCGTTTTGTCCAGTGAACTGAGTGCGCAGTTTTTCTTAACGAAGGGATGGGGTGGGTCAAGTGAATAGTTCTGGGAACGTTTGCTCTCTTTGGTGGAGGGAGGGGGTATATTTGTTGATATCGGGATTTCTGGCCTGGATAGAGTCGTTGTAAAGCGCGCTATTTTTGCTTCGGAGTATTGGTTTACCGGAAGGTGAGCAAGGAAAAGTCAATGGTGCATTTATGGAATAATAATAGAGATTCTCATGGTCTAACGGTGCGAATATAAAACTTCTGGTAAGCTGGCAACGATCAAGGCCCGCATTATAATTCATGATAATTGAAGGTCATGATGTGGAAAAAGCGACCGAAAAAGGGTGGATGCTATGCAATCCTCTCGGGTGGGGGCGGCGTACCTGGCCTTAACGGTTCCCCTGCGACAGAAGGCAAGCATGCCCAGATTGTCCACGGGTTGCTAAATGAGACTGTCCCTTTCTTAGTACCCGTTCCCTGTCTTATAATTAGACCCGGGCAAATTTCTCGAGATTGCACCATCATTTTGGGCTTAAAGCTTCCAAAGTCCAACAATAATAGCGCATGTTCGCGACGGTTTTTTAAGTCAGTCAAGTTCTTAAACCAGGCCTTAAACGGCCAGTTTTAAGTGTCGATAACAGTTAAAAAGGCATACAAGCCTCATGCAAAAGACAGTGGGAAGGAAGTGCAGATCGGTGATGGGGAAAAAGGAGTAGCCCACAGTTATTTAGGGGTGGATCTTTCGAAACATTCTTATACTCTTGGACAGATATGCATTGTTTAAAGTTTTAGACAAACCAGGAGTAATTTATAGTAACAAACTGTTAAATATACACCAGCAAGATTTTTTCGAATCCTATTTTTCGCTGGAGACTATCGTTTACTGGCTGGTCACGCAATCAAAGGTAACGTACTTTCCCACGTTTGTTTACTCACCTTTCGCTCAGCAATACACTGCGTTCCACAAAGGATCCAAATTGCGCTAGAAATGTTTTGCTATTCGGCCCACTTTTTATCTCAGGTAAGGCACTGCAAAGCTGATTCATTTACGAAGGTTCGAGCGGAATTATTTCATGATGTTATTCTGATTTCGCAGTCAAGGGAAAACAGACCTAGACTCAGGTCCACTCGCAGACGCCATGGTACAATCTACAAGATCTCAAGAACAGAAATTACCCATTGAACGGCCTCTCCTTTTCAAGATTGCGTGTATTTCATTAAAACAGGTACATATGAATCTTGTTGGTTTCTCCCTTTTAACGAGCTGAAATCGATGCGTAAAACTAAGGTGACGTGCACGTGTCAACTGACCCTGGGGTCAATTAGCGGTTGTTTGGGGCAAAATAACCTCAAAATAATCAATCTATTTTACAAGCGTTCGCAAGAACACCAGACTAACTTTCAGATAATGTTGAAGTACTATATCTCATTAGTTAGTAAGCGGGATTTGGGGTGATTTGGAGAATTCCCTCATATAGAAAATTCGATTTTGGTTTTAGCGGTAAATTGTTGTATTTATAAGCATTATGCAAATTACGTTTCAAAATTCTGCTGGTTAGTCGATATTTTATACTCTAAATCTAAAAAATGTGCCGTTCAGAAATTGTTAGATATCTGCTTTTTGAGATTTAAGTAGAAGATTGCCAATATATTCGCTCGTTTATGAAAGTCAGCTCATTTCTGTCGCTAGGTTATATTGCCGTGTTCGGCGGCTAATTTTAGGCCCGCAGACCGTTGAAATCGAAAATCTCAAATAATTCCCAAATTCGGTCGCATTTTGAAATTTAAACCTCAGCAGTGTTATAACCTCATTAAAACCTTATTACAGACTGAAAATGAGGGTAGGTTAGGTTTTGAGCTGTGGCCACGATTTGCCGATTTTGCTCGATTTTTCGGTGCATTCGCTCTTAAGTACTTAATTTAGCTTAATTTAATTCGTTGTGCAGCGTCGTTGCACAGAGTAAGAATTCGTGTAAGTAGATACCATTACACCCGAAACTCAAACTTAAAGAGTTCACTTAATGACGTTGCAAATGGTTTTGGGAAGCGTTTGCACCAGGTATAATTAACTAATAAAGAAACCTTGACTGTGCTCTTTGCTGTCGTAAAGCACGCAGCAAGTGGCAGGAGCTCGACAGAAGTGTAGGGGGAAACACGACACTAAGAGTAGTCGAGTGTTTCTCCCTACTTCTTGAGTGTTCTTCCCACTTTACGATTTTTCAACCAATCAGAGTGCGCGTTGTATCTGAACTTTGTTAAAATACATATATAACAGTCTGGAACACTCACTACATTTTAGGTTTAGAGGTTTTGCTACTTTCTTTCGATTTTATCGGTCAACGTTTTGAATGCCTAGGCTTCTAAAGTTTTCGTATGATTCCATGTGACAGCACTGCTAAACGCACAAGTTTTCAAGCCGCCGATAATTCATGGATCATTATACGTTTCTGGGAAACTGCCCACCTACCCCTCCCCTAAGCCAACATTTTGCCCCAAGTGAGAAGTAAGTGTTAATGTTGGCTAAGGGGAGGGGTAGGTGGGCAGTTTCCCAAAACGTATACAAATTCATCCGGTACCGTGTGAACCTAGCCTTTTGACTGCCTCGCCAAAGGCATTAGGGACCTTAAGATCTGAGGACGACGACGGTGGCGAAAACATCGCCTAAAAAGTGAGCTCGCGTTCTTTCAATCTTCATCTCCATCTTCATCTTTGTCAAATATTGGCGAATTCTTTTGGATTTGAATTCCTAATAGCAATATTCAAGTTCAAAAAAAGAGAGAAAATTTTGTCGTCGTTTGTTTACTTCCGCCATAAAACGTGAATTTAGGAAGTTTCACGTCGTAGTCGTGCAGTGCTGGCAAAGAAATGTACAAAAAAGCGTGAAGCACGTGCAAAATTGTTGTTTTGCTAATGAAACCTATTGCTTTTTTGAAGTTCTCGTTGTCGTCGCCGTCGTGGGATCTTAAGGTCCCTATTATTAGGGAGCTTTAGCAACGGCGCCAGTAACGACAGCGCCAAAACAGGAATGGGTTTGTTAAACAAAACAACAATTTTGCACGTGCATCACGCTTTTTTGTACATTTCTTTGCCGTCACTGCACGACTACGACGTGAAAATACCTGATTTCACGCTTTTTGGAGGACGTAAACAAGCGAAGACGAATTTTTGTTTCCCTTTGTAAACTTGAGTGCCGTCCCCAAGAAATCGGCTCTAGGGAAATGTGCCTACATTTGACATTTTCAGCGGATTTGAATAAACGCGACAACGTTTGAAAAAACGCGAATACCTTTTCAAAGTGACGTTTTCGCTTCCGTCGCCGTCGTCGATACTAAAGCTTCCTATTATTAGCCTGCGTTTCAGCCGGCCCGCGCACATGCTGTCTTGAGTGTCAGGAACGCGGGCTACATCATTATTTGCATTCTGTTTTTGTATTCTGTAGGCATTTGGCGAGTAGAACACAGCTTGGATCGCAAGTTACAATGACCCTGCTAAGATTACCACAGGAACATCAAAATGAAGGTAGGCTGGCTGCTAAGTGACTTTTGCGTGGGGTTTCCCAACACGGTCTTTGTAGCCCCACTACAGGCCTCTCTGCCTGGTGTTGTTCTACAAGCTCTCTTTGGTTCGTCTTTCTTTTCGAGTCGGTAGATCAAATCATTTACCTTGGTACTGTTTACTCTGTACAAGTCGGTTAAAATTTTTGAGTTTGTGGACAAGATCGTATGGTTTGGTAATTCAAATGAAACCTCTCATGCAGAATTTTTCGTATGGTATTATTTGAATTTTGAGTTTTGGCATTTATGACTAATCATCTAACAAGGTTAAACACTGAACATTTTTCGTTCCATTGTTTGTAACTACATGGTGTATTGATTTTTGTTCCATTTATTTGTCAGATTCCGAAGTGTCAGAGGAGACACCAGTAGTCAAACCACTGAGATGGGAGGAAGACATGCAGTTGTTTTCACGTTTTTTAGACCGAAAGGTAACACTTCTTGCAATTTATTTGCGCTTTTGATCGTCATTCAGTATGCAAACCTCGTAGATTTTCCCGTCAGAGCCTCATTGCGTGCCTATTAACTTGTACCTTTTTACAGATCATTCGTTTGCTTTTGCAATCGCGATACTCACCAACTGACATCCAAACTACACCAAATTTTAGCTTCAGGACCAGCCCCATCCACACATATCGAGGTATTTTTGAAAACGGAGTTTTTTTTTTCTCCGTTTAAGCCTTGCGTCCACACGTCAACGGCGTTTTCGTGCATCAGGAACGCAGCTTTTCGGAAACGGTTCCCAGAGTGGAGTTTCTTTAAAAAGAGCGTACTTATCGTTATCGTGTGGACGGACGAGAACGAAGGTTTTGGATTACGATGACGTCATACATCATACAGCGCATGCCCTGTAAGGGATGCTATAGTATTTCCATCGTCAGCTAGCGTTTTCGAGTGGAGGGGCGGAAATGATTCGAATACGCTACGCGTGGACACGAATTTTTTTTTGCGAAAATAGAGACAAATCTCGGTTTTCAAAAATATCCTGATACGTGTGGACGAGACCATTGTGTTCGTCAGTTGGCCTTTTCCGAGTTCCCAAAACTCTCTCTTTCAAAACGAGGCTAAGTGCAAAAGTTTTCTTGTGAAAATGAGTTTTATTTGTACGACAATAATAAAATCATTTTCATATTAATGACCTCGCACTTAGCCTCACCTTCAAACAGAGGCTTAGGGCAACTCGCGAATGACGTATTGACTAACAAACGACCTCGTCAACTGACAAGCAAACTTCGTTTGTATTCGTAGGCGGAGTTGGCTGACGATCATGCTACTTACATGAGAAGGCACCCCGAACTACGTGCCCTACTTGCCGACTTTCTTCAGTTTCTGCTGCTCAGGAAACCTGATGACGTCACCGGCTTCGCCTCCGAGTTTTTTGGAGCTTTTTCCACGGCTGCGCCGTCTGCACCCTCATTTGCACGTTCATCTCCAAGCCCTGCGCGGCCATCCTCTTCGCCTTAGCGGGTGTTTTATGCCATAAACCTCCAAGTCGTGTTCAAAATATACTTTTCGAAATGATAATTATTTGTACAGAAGAATGAAAGTGTAAGAATGAAATCTGTTATATTTCCCGCTGTTTTGAAGACCTCGATGTGTTTGGGTACACTGAGTACAGTCTCGCTCTGTTGAGGCAAGTTTAAGAACCCAGGGCCATCACTTATACAGTTCAAGAGAAAACTAAAGCGTTGGGATCTCTCATCATCTCTTGAATGTTTTCTATCGTGCTTCCAAGCGTATTAAAATTACTTCCACATTCAAAATCAACTGAAGCTGATACAAGTATATTACGGTTGTGTCTTCTCTCAGTCTCGTTACGTTGAGTTTTGTGAAAGCTTCCGACTGAGTAGTTCTTCACATCTCCAGTTTTTTCCTTGCCCTTCACAATGTACTTCTATAAATTTCAAATTATATATATGAAACAAAACCTGATGGAATCTTTCAAATTATCTATCATTTGTGTGCACATTGTGATATATTCAAGGAATTTTTCGGTGTATAGTTTTTAGTATTATGTCTGTGAAGAGATCAGCAAGTCTTGTTGCTTTTAAATCTTTTGAACCGCTAAATTGATGTTTGCGTTAGTTTCTTTATCAACTTCTTTTATTGGCCACTGACGAGTGTCAGAAACGGTGACGTTACTGTAGGTGATTTACGTCAACGAACTCTGTGAATGAACCCAAATTTTGGTCTTCCAGTAACAGTAAACACACGGAATCTTACTTTACAGATATTTCTGTTCTCTTTCTCTATTTTTCTTTCGTTACTCAACTCTATTCTTTTGTCTATATAAGATGCGTCAAAGGAGACGATAACTCGGTGTAAAACTGAATGCAAAATACCTAGTATCACGTTCATAAACGTTTATTTAACTCTCCCTGGCGTCCCATGTCAGGTAATCCGGGAAATTTGCGGAATTCGGAATCCTGAGGTTTGGAATTCGTAATCCAGCTCAAGGAATCCGGAAGCCGAATCCAGTACCTAGATCCGGAATCCATGGCGTGGAATCCAGAATTCAAGATTACCTTTCATGGGACGACTCCTTAAATCTATTCTGATACTGTTTGAATTGCTTGTTGATTGCTGCCAGTTGAGCAGTATAAAGTGTGGATCAATAAAGATGTTTTTGGACTAATATTGGAATGGAATTCATCCATAGTTTGTTATTGATCAGGTGAGCGTTGCTATGATGAGAAGAGTTCTATTAACATTTTTTCCCGTACGTGCTTGCATGGCACGGCTAGTTCTGACCCGTCCTCAGTCCTCCTCTCTCGTTTTAATCAGGAGCCATTATCACACATTTGACTATTCGATACGATGGAAACAACCCCATTACTGGAAAAAGTATCAAGTTGTGGTGTCCTATCCCATAGTGTCTTGGAAATTATTGCGCTTGGTGGAACGCAAATCACTTGACAACATCGACTGATTCGTTAGCCAGCGAGAATGAGCTCTCCCGTCAGAACGTCATGCCCCAGTTGTTCGAAGGTTGGATAGCGCTATCCACTGGATATCACCATCCAGTGGATACGAATCCGGGAAACTAATCAGTTTTCCTTTGGATATAGATTTATCCAGAGAATAGCGTTATCCAACTTTCGAACAAAAGGCTCCAGACGTCTATTTGAACTTAACTTTCACTCCAGTGTTTACATTCAAGAATCAACTAACTTCATCCACGGGTGCTTCGGGGCTCACGCGAGAAGAGGGGAATGGCTGGACACAAGCGAGGCGCGAGGCGTCATGGGAAGGGAATGAAAGTGTACATTAATGCGCCGTGGTTGGTGGTGTAGAGACTCGAGAGAGACGCACAAGGCAGTAATGCGGTAATTGTGTTTTGAAATAACCACCGCCCCCTAAACTTCGGGTATTATTAAAAGACGGCCTTACTAGGTTTACCGTTAAGTGTAAAAAAAAAAAACGTTACGGCGTGCAGACCCTTGAAACCCCTGGAATAAATAATTTAAATCCACTCATGTAGTCTTCGTAACAGAGCCATTATCTAGGCATTTTCCATGATGAGAATTCGTCTTTAAACTTTTGAAACTGATACCAAAGTACAGTCAAACCCACTTACATGTAATACGGATCGGACACTGAGGAAAGTGTCCGAATATAGCGGGTTAAATTTGGAGAAAATATAAGGGCTTTCTTTCCCCAGGGACAAAGCAAACTGTCCGTAATAATGAGGTGTCTGGAATAGTAAACCTGTGCCCATATTTTAAAAAAAATGCAACGCCTCAGCCCCAATTTAACGTACAGGTTTTGTGCTCTGTTGGACTTGTTGTTTAAGTTTGGCTCTTGACGTCATAGAACAGAACTAAGTAGGACGCCATTAACTGCAATATCGTTTTGTGAGGCTGGTTGAAATGTGAGCAGCTCGTTAGCAGAGTCCATTTTCCTTTTGAAAATACAACACTGGAAACTGGCTCTACTTTTCATTGGAAAAAATGAGGCCTTGAGAATGAAGATCAATGAAGGGGAGGGGTAGAAACGAAAATAAATAATGCTGTCGAGATTTACATAAAGCGGGAAAAAGATAATGGTAAAACTTGCCCTATTCAATTGACAGAGCGAATGACGCACGCATCATTCGCAGCTCAGTCACTTTTGCCGATTTGTTTGACCATTTTAATGGCGCGACCAAAAAATAATAATGTCTCTCTTGCTTTTTAACTAATATAACCTGTTCTTAATTGTCTTGGTAAATAGCAGATGACAATAAAAGTTCCTCGAGAAATGGAATACTGAAATGTATATTTATTTTGTAACAAAAAGGGCGAATGAGAGAGGTTACTTTAGCCACAATTTATTTTATAATCAGAAACATTATGACTACACATCAATATATAGACATTGTTCTACACCCCTGTTTCTACTTCATAATGTTTTCCTCTAATTAAGTATTCTAAAGACTTTCTGTAACTTGGGAGTCTCCATGCAAAAATAAACGCGTCAGCGGCTACTTTGGTAAAAAGTAAAAGGTCGGTTGTTCTCAACAAAATATTCAAACTTAGTTCTTCTTGTATGCTGGTTGTCTCTGCATATAGAAAGAAATAAAATACTCCGATATGAGGAAACGCTGCGAAAAGCAATATCGCGGCAAGATAAAACGTCATGATTATAAAATTCCGGTCAAACGTTCGGTAACGAACAGGCTTTTTGTTACCGGTACTGCGGTGTGGAGAGTTGGTTGAATCGTAACGAGACAGACTTCTGTTGGTGGTGATTTGATGCTGTAAACGTCCTCTGAATGCCCTGTACATACATATCTGAACGAACGCCAAGATCACTGATATTAGCGTTGAATGTAGAGTTAAGTTGAGTTTGAAAAAGACAATCTGATCAAGGCCTAGAATGGGGAGGAAGCTATACACCGTGAAATATAACCATGTTACTAAAACGCAAGATATTACGGTTTTCTTTGTTACCCAGGTTTTGTATCGGTAGGGGCACTCTATAGCGATAAGTTGGACTAAAGAGAGCATCAGCACCATAACGAAAGAGGCGTTCAGCGATGCTGTTGATATCACTGAGCCAACCAGAAACAGCGTCTGTGAAATGGCCTGGAATTCCTCACTGGCTAGAAAATAGCGTCCGAGAAAATACATGGCGAAAAACGGTTCCACAAATAGACCACAGAGAAGATCGGCTACGGACAAACCAAGGACAAAATAGCTTGTTGGTTTCTTGAAGTATTTCAGCGGGTCTTTGAATATGGCCGTGATCAGTAAGATATTTGCCAATACTGTGACCGGGCTCAAGATGGCCAATGTAAAAGCAGATCCCAGCTCACAGCGCGCGTATATCATCTTTGCAAATAATGTATCAGTTTGATTTGTTGAAGCGCTCGAGCTTCCATTTTCTTGGCTCATTGTGGCCGCTATTGATTGATCCTTCGCCCAGAGATCCCTAATCCGAAAAACGTCTTTGCCTGGTCATTGCGAACTGTTTTAGTTTCGTTTCAGAAGTGCGTGTTTCGCGCGTCACTCTTGCTCATTCGTCTTACTCTATTTACAGCTTTTTTTTCTCTCCACATGCAATCGTTTTTTTTTTTCTCATCAAGCTACGTTTGTTTTTACTTCCGTAGACGCCTGTTTTTAGAGCCTTTTCATTCCTGTTGCAAATGAAGCCTGTTAAACTCGTTTTCATTCTGTTTTACTTACAACCCATTAGATCGAACTTTATAATGCATTAATCCCTAATATAAAAATCCAAACTCGTAAAAATATACTCCTACCACCATGGTTTTCAACGCGAGGGGGTTAATTTTAACTTTGCTTTGTCTCCATCAATGAAAAACGTTCTTTAAATTAAAACTAGTTTCATAAGCTTGAATGAACTTGAAAGTAATTACGTGAACAGAATATTCCCTATTTACAAAAGAAGAGGATACCTTTAACAAGGAATATTTAATTTCAGCCGGCGCCGACACAGAGCAGGTGCATCGATCACACTGATCAGCAATTTTGTATAATTTTCTCTTTTGTTCATCGATTTAATCTTTTCAAACTGGTGCTTAACTTAAGCCAAAGCATCGATCGATAATGCAAAGTAGTTAAGTTCTGGCTCAAGGCCTAAAAAAATTAGGTAGCATACTATTCGATCGAGTAGTAGTCTATCTCAGCCCACTTCAAGTTTGAACTTCTCTCCGAGCTCGTTAACATTTCTAAACTGTGCCGGTTGATAGAACCCCGGGGATAGAACACCTTTGATCCTCGTTATTAGTCATTCAAAGAAAGCGAAAAATGACAAACGGTATTATTCACCTTAAAAAGATGCTATTATCCTCAGACATCTGATATTTCCCTTGGAGACAAATTTTGTCTTTTTAGATAAGATGATATACCGTAAAATTCCGAAAATAAGCCCCAGGGCTTATATTTTTCAACGGCCCTTTTTGAGGGGCTTATATTCGGAGGGGCTTCTCTATGGAGGGAAATTTGCGTTTCAAAATCGATTGGGCTAGCCTTATAGTTGGAAGGAAATTGACCGTTTTTGCTTTGTTTTACTTTGTATTTGAGGGCAGTTTTCCAAGTACAAGCCCCCTGGGGGCTTATATTTGGACGGGTGATTTTACGGAGGGTTTTTTGCGTTATGAGTTTTGGGGGCTTATATTTGGAGGGGGCTTATTTTCGGAATTTTACGGTCTAACGTCAAAATCGTCTTTCTGTCATTTCCGTTTCTTTCTGTTTATTACTATTATTATTATTATTATTATTATTATTATTATTTGCAATTCTTGGCTTGCTTGTTTAATCCCTTACCGATGGACTATGGACACTGGGTACCAAAGAGTTCACTTAATTGACAGACTACTCTTCTGAGGATATGAGTTGTTCCCAAAAGAGTAAAATTTTGGAGCTCATTGAATATCAATATTGTTGTTATTACAAATTTTAAATAATAATACAATAATTTTATTCAACTTTAAAAATATGTACATAATTTACAGAAATATTTGAAGTAAGAATTAGTATAGGTAATAGCATGATTTGTAGTGATATTTGGCATAAATACCACGAGTGATGTTTCGAAATTGTTATACGTAATTTCACGAGCCGTTAGGCGAGTGAAATTTGAGACAATTTTGAAATATCACGAGTGGTATTTATGCCCAATATCACGTACAAATTATGCTATTATTTGTTTATACTACTACCCGCAAAATTGAAATTTTCACATGTAGGTATTTCAAATTACGCTGAAATACCACTGCTCTAAGCCAATCAAATTGCAGAAATTTCTCGTGTAGTAGTATAAAGCACTATATAACAATAAGAATTATATAAATCATAAAAATACAATCACTGTGTCAATAACGATTAACAAATACATTCCTTGCGGCTCAGATGCGATCAATAACTCGTTCAGGCGATCCAGAGTTTTCAATCAAGTCATTACAAAAGAGAATCATCCGTCTCTGATATTAAAAAGAAACAAGTTAAAACGAATAAAATCTCGTATTCCTAAATTCCTAATTCTTTGAAAAGTTCTTTAAAAAGAATTAATTAATTCGAGCAGGCTCTAATATTTTCGATCTGTAGATCTGAGTCAATAATAATAACAATTGTTGTTTTTATGATGATGATGATGATGATGATGATCAAGTTTCACAGTACGTGTGCGTGTTTGCTGTACTGTATAGGGATATCTACTGGGCGGAGTACTGCCAGTCCTCTAAGCTTAGCAGATTAAAAAATCGTCGCAAGATATATGCCTAGGCCAGGACAGATGTCTTTTGCAGGTGTAGCTGTGGCACTCGACTTCAATCGACAGGTCTTTCAGAGTCTTATCGAGATTGCTCTTTACACATCCCAGCGATCTAACAATGATTGGAATAATTGTTACCCGCTCCTGCCATAACCTAGAGAGCTCTATGGCCAGGTCTTTATAATGGTAAACCTTCTCCCTGTACCTACTCTCCCTCTTTTATCATTATCACCATCATCATCATCATCGTCGTCATCATCATTATCATTATTATTATTAATATTATATTATATTATTATTACTATTATTATTTTATTATTATTATTATTATTATTATTATTATTATTATTATTGGACAGCCGAAACAGCCGCTCTCAATCAGAAGCTAGAAGTACTGCGATTTAATAATCATTATCATAATAATGATTATAATAGCGAGGTTCTGCGATACGCGTATTTCTAGTAATAATAATAAATCACCACAAGCCAGAGGAAAAGCAACAAGACAAACAGGGACTGCAATTAATTATCAGGAGGGTTTTAAAACGGAGAAGGGATGACAGAGTAGAAAGTAGGACGTCAAGAGAGGGGGGAAGTTTTGTAATTTATTCAGTGGGAAGAATGGAGTGGTACAGAGTTTCTTGGTGTCGCGGACGGGTGCAATCGCCAAATGACCTACTATACTATAGTCAACTCTCGCCTTGCGGACACCCCGCCATAACGGACACCCCCATGATGTGGACAGCAGCTAAATCCCAGACAAAAATAAATAGGCCTTTTGCATTAGTTGATCACGTGATCAAATTTCGGTAAACACGAAAACAGTTCGCTTTTAAAAAAGTTTGTTAGCACGAGCTGAAAGAGCATATTAAAATTAGGTAACATGTAAATTTTTAGCCGCATATCTCAACTAGCGATTGCAATGGCCGCTTTTTCTAGTGCGTAATCCACAGAGGCAAAGTGCTATTCGTGAATTTAAGGCAAGGGTGAGACACGAAACCCCTGACAGTCCTTCTCGATAGTTACCTAGCCCACTGATGAGGGTTCCCTCTGTGAAAAGGAAAAGGCGAAGAGTTGAGCGTCTGCGCAATCGGGGTGTGCGCTGGTTACGGTTATAAATCACCGCAAGAGTCAAAGTAAGGGTCAGTTGAATGGTGTCCATTTTCAGTTTGTGTAGTCGTAGAGAACGTTTCGATTCAGCGTAGACGACAAGGTTAACCGTGTTGGCGCGTACTTCCGAGAAGTAAAGCTCCAAGCCTGGGTTTCGTTGTTTTATATAAGTTCAAAATGATCTCCCGGGCAGTGATGTGGGGTCAAATCAAATGCGAATAAGGTGTAACCAGAGCCATAATCACTTCTGTTTATCTGATTGCCCGTATCCTGGGAAAACTTTCCAGTTCCAGAGAAAAGACTTTGATAGCAGGCCATCACATTTTGACCACCAGCGGCGTGAAAATTCAGGAACAAAGGTTCTCGGGGAATTTGTTCTCCGTCCACAAAGACCGCACCCACTTGAGTTAAATTGTGGTGTTTGAAGTAGTGCGGGATAAACTACTAAATCTTCTTGTAATAGAGAGCACTTTACAATCGATTCTGCGGATGGGATACTCGGCGCTGGAGTGTTTAGCGCAGCTGCATGGCCTAGAATGGTAGAAGAGGCAACCTTGACTGTGCGTACAAACAAGATGGCTTCTGTGATAGCCACTTTGAAATTAACTCCGGCTGCTGAGGACACAGGACAACACACGTTCTTGGCTCGGTTCAGTTTGATTCTTAAATTAACCCTATTGAGCATTGACCGGTCTTGGAAGAATATATCGCAACCTCAGAGTTAACAGTGAAAAAGTCAATGTTTTTGTCACGAAGACATGATTTCAGAAACTCTGTTCCTTGATCTGCTTGCAGTTTGGTGTGTTTGCGACCAGTAGAAAGGATCTTTTGGAAGGCTTCGACCAGTTCATGACCTTGTTTTGTCTTCAAAGGTAACACAAAAGCGTACTTGCTGAAGATATCTACACAAGTCAGTAAGTATTTATATCCTTTGTTGTAGCGGCTGAGATTTTGAAGATCGACCAAATCCGCTTGAAATTGTGCATCTATTCCAGAAACGATGACTCGACTTCTCTTGTAGCGTCTTCGCCCGGGGTTGTGAAGAGTATAAACATCTTGCTGACTCAACCAATCTCGGACTAGTTTACGCGATATCTTGTTCTTTCCTTTCTCTTTGACAGCGAGTGTAAACAGCATCTAAACCACCGAAACTTGCATGTTGACTTCGGTCGAGATAAATGCTGGTCAGTGTTTTCTCCATCACAGAACTCGCCACAGCAGGCTAATACGCAACGAATGCGGTTAAAGATGTGTTCGAATCCAAAATTGGACGAAGGGGGACAGCACCCCATCAATGATGATCACTATGAAGGTTCAAAGCCGAATGAATTCTGCTCTCGTAGTGTTCATTTATATAGCTACTCTCGAATCTGCGTGAGAGTGGGCACGAGAAAATGAAACAATAGTTCCCATTCCTCCTCGGTTAATGCTACAACCAGTTGCAAAAGTACTTGAGACACTGTACCGTATTTTGGCATAAATGGCCTGTCCATGATCTTGTGCTTGTGATCCCCCCTCCACCCCTTATCAAAGTTGCTAGCAATACAAGACC